TCCAAACTATCATCAAAATATCAACTTTTCATGAATTGAGAGTACTGATGTACTTAATTTCAATTAAGGCTATGTTTTGGACCATATTTAGCACAATTTATTTTTTATCTCGAAAACAGATAGAGATAGGTATAGGACATTATTAACAAAAAAGTATTAAAATACTAGAGCGATTCCAAAAATTTATTAATATACGGGGTGTTCCATTTAAAAAAATATAATTGCTAGGACTTTTTGATAGAAGTGGCAACGCCGCTGAAAATATTTCAACAGGTAAGGAAATGTGAGAGGTGAAATTTTCAGAGAAATCATGCTTTGCGTTTTCTAGAAACGTCTAACATACCATCGACCGTGAGTCACGCTGTATAGTTAGCCCCATCCTAAAACTTTGGGAACATGAAAGATATATTCTCAGTGATGTATTGTTGAGAGATGAAGATGTTGCCCCAACGAGTCTCAAGACTAGCGAAACTTCAGAGCAAATGATCAGCGATGATGCACTATAAAACGATTAGCAGGACATCGAAAATGGTGAATCATCTGGAAAGAAACATAAACAGCACAAAGAACGATAGAGTGGAAATGAAACCAAAGAGGCGGGTGATGTTCTGAATAATTCGCCATGGTTATTTAATATTTAAGTGAGCGTGTGTACAAAGCCTAGCCTAGTACAAAGTGAAGAAGCGATGAAAAGAGAGATAAACTAGTTAAACAAGTAATTGATTACCCAGAGATACTGGATATGTGTGTTTTGAGCTGGTTCTTTGAGTCTTTGAATGAAGTTCCCGTAGTCTATTTTCGTAAGCAGCGGAGTATTAGATAATATTCAAGTCGATATTTTTTTAATGAAACAGCATTCAAGCCTAAAAATTCACTCACCTCTGTACTCTGCAGTATCATAACATTGTTTTTATTGACGCTAAACTTCCCGCGGCCTTCTTTCCCATACTCAAACTCCACCTGAATATTAGTAGGAGTAGCCAACCTCGTGACCAACTTGTACATGGCGTGCAGCCCCACAACGGTATCCTGCGAAGAGGCAAACCCTCCCAGGCTGTTCTGCTGGTTGATCAACCACTCCAAGACCGGAGTGGCGTCGTCCAGCAAGTTCATCTCGATGAAAGTCAAAAGGGCGTAGGAAGTAGTCTCGATGTCGATCGATTTGGGGCGGGAGTTCCAAGGATTCTTCGCTTCGTTCCGGGGCGTGTCTTTGGCCCACCATTTCATGCTGTTCTTCGTCTTGGATTTGGCGTCCAGCAGGTTGAAGGCGCTCTGCTTCGAGGTGTGCTTTGCAATCTGTAGGGCGTAGCTGCACAGGGCCAAGGCATAGACTGGTTGCTGTTCGTCGATGTTTCGCGCCAGGTAGTCCAGGCCTTTGTTGATGGAGTTTGTGAAAAGGGGGTCGTTGTGCTGCGAAGGAATGCTTGTTAGTCGTACCCAAAGTGTGGTCCGTTCAGATTAGAAGCACCTTTGGTAAATTTTCATTTATGAACCGTTCAATTTTGCTAGGATGTTTCAAAACTAAATGGGCCACACTGTATAGGAAATGAAAGTATCAACTTACTTTATCGCTTTCGAGCAAGGCCATAGTGACGAAAGCAGTGAGGGCCAGGCTGCTTCCCTCTCTGCTTTGCAGGTCTGCGTGAATAACGTTTCCAGTTTCGTAGAAGCTGCCGTTTTTTCCTTGAACGGCAACCAACCAATTCAGTGCGTTCTCGATTATGCTTTCGTCAACGAAAATGTATGGTTTGGCTTGTTTTAAAGCCAAGGCAACGTATGCTGTGAGCCTGAGGGAAATACATTTTAAATTTTATGTCTGTGAGACGAACTATAGTCCGTTCATAATTTGTTGATAGCTCACTGCAAGTGAGAGACATTAGAGAACTGAAATACAGAGAGGACAGATAATATGATATAATAACAAAAACCAAACTAAAACTGGCAGTTTAAGATGTTTTCGTCTAACCCACCTTGTATCTCAAGAAATACAATACAGCTATAAAACTTTTAATCCGATTATGTAGGTATTTTGAGTGGAAATGAGTGACCAGTGTCGTAGAGTATATGATTAAAACATTAGTTACTTTAAATAAATAAATATATTAATATTCTTAAACTGTAGGTACTGTAAACTGTATTTTTATTTNGCACAAAATTCGCAAAATAAATATTAGAGACGTTAATTACTGCCGTAGACGCCGAAACACCAACGAGCCGTAAATTAAATGCGATTAAAAAATATACTAAACCAAAAATTATTTTCGTTCGTAACAACTTCACCCTTTCAAGGCAAGTTTCGAATATAAACTGAAGCTTTATATTTAATGAATAAACACCTCAGGAACCTCCGCCTATGATTTTACGAGTTTTACGACCGTATTATGACTTGAGCCATCATTTTGTGCTATCGACAAATTATGAACGGACTATAAATAGGGAAGAAAATTTTGAATGTGGTACTTTATACAAGAAACTATTTTTCATAATTTACTCAAACTATATATTTATCGCTCAAGAATTGAACGTAAGCCAAATAACTATTTCATGACGAGTTTCATACAATGTAATTTTCGCGCCTGACATCAGTGGCAGTGCTTGCCTCCAACGAACAAAGCATCTGCAGTGAGCACCAGGATCGTAAGTGTGAACCTTGGAACTCGATTTTCAATATTAAAGGAACTCCCATAGGATCCAAGCTTATTTTTCCATGGGAAAATGATTTGATATTATCCACAGAGGTTTGGGAGCGTTTAATTTAAAACATTCCTGTAGGTTTTACCACAGAATGCATATTATTGTGGTTATCAGCTTTGCACATAATATACTATCCTATGTCGCTTTTTGTACTTGTCTTTGGTTTTGTGAAAATTTCATTTTTCAAAATTTAGCTTTCATATCATTTTTGGCATTTTTTGTGTTTGAACATCAATCAAGGAAGTTATTTGGCTTAACGGGCTGCAAAATGTGGTAGCTGTAGATAATCTTGCGAAAGATCCACCACGAGATTTTTGCTCTTAAATTTTGTCTTCAGAGGGTTGTCTTTCATAAAAGGAAGACTGATGGTTGTGGAAACAACCACGTTAACCCATTTTAAACCCAAACAAACTCACCAAACACTGCCATTTGTGTCCCTCCAACCAAATGGGCTAAATGAACCGTCTGGTCGTTTGTAAGTCAGCTGCTGTTGGTAACTGCTCTCTAAATTCATTAAGGCTTCATTTTCTATAGTTGGAGTCAACTGCCTAGTGACCCTCAAATACTGCAATATAATCAAGTTGGGCATGAAGTGCACAAGGTTTTGTTCTCCACAGCCTGCTGGGAGTCTGATGAGGTTCTCCAGATGGATCATGGCGGGTCCTAGAAAACTCCCAACCGTCGATACTTCGATTTTTTCGGAGTTTGTTACGGCGTTTTCGGGTATGGTGAAGTTTATTGAGGATCGAAAATTTGGATTCGTCCTCAGGTCAACCAGGATCGTTTTCGTATAGTATTCGGTTTCTCCCTCGGCCTGAAATTGCAGGTGTACTTAGTCTAGGGTGAGGATCTTGAATTCTCCATTCAAACTTACCGTTACTAAGAGGTTTTTGAAAGCTACATCTTGGGTTTTGGGACTATTCGCCGTTACTTTGATCTCCACTGAGCCTATTTTGACTGTTGTGATCAGGAATGAGATTGAAGCTTCCGAATATTTCTTAACGCCCAACCTTTTTCTGCGGTAAATTTCTACTTCTGAAAAAAAAACAATTCTTATCGTTATACTTGATACCTGTCTGTTCGACAACAGTATAGAATCATTATTAAATGAAAATGTTGAATACAAATCGAAATTTCGGATCTGCTCTACCTTCTGGCACTGAACGTCTCTATGATAATTATATAGTCAGGTTGAAAAGAACAAAGCTTAATGACTTTTCATTCGTTTGAAACAAACTGATTTGAAACAGTGTAACGTACAGTTTGGCAAGTTGAAGAGCCAAACTAGTTACGTACACCGCCATCTGCCCGCGAATAGATCAAGAAATATCAATTAGGTTACGAACAGATCCCGATCTTGAGAGTTACACACAAACATGCATACAAACAATCATACATACATACAGGTGAAGCTAATATAAAGCGTGTAAAAAAAACTCAGATCTGATATAGGAATGTAGGCTTTTACGGTTGGCATCTTTTTTTGGTTGGTTTCCAGGTTTTGCCGAGGTCTTTGGTTACAATCTCTAAATGTTTCAACTGCAACTACGGCAGTCACCTTCAGTGGCTTGGTCGAAGAGTCGTGGGAGACGACCACGGCAAAACCCGGAAACCAACCAAAACAACCCAGATCTGTTGTAACGGTTTTATTTTGACATTTGTTCTGTTTTGAGGTCAACGACTACTTAAACCTGAAATTAATAATTCCATGAAGGTTTTGGGATATTTTAATACCTCGTCATTCGTTTAGTTCTCATTTACTGATTAACAACTATAGAAGGATATATTCGAACGCATTAGTTATATTCGAACATATATTCGAATCCTCTAGAGGTTCTGTGCTCTGCACGGTGAATTGTGTTCTGTGACTTTGGTTCCATGAATGTCTTGCCGCCGGGATTCAAAATTTTTTGTGGTACTTTTGGGGTAAATTTTCGTTATGTGGACACCCGGCGATTTTGAAAAAATTTTTGACTGTACTTACGTATTTTGATGCGTAGATTACGAATCCGAAAGAAAAAAGCGGCGCTCTCCCTTATTTAAAAAGTTACGGCCTTTCAATGTTCAGAAAAGGGCAACTTTTCAGACTTTTCTGAACTTTGAAGGGCCGTAACTTTTTAAATAAGGGAGAGCGCCGCTTGTTTCTTTCGGATTCGTAATCTACGCATCAAAATACGTAAGTACAGTCAAAAATTTTTTCAAAATCGCCGGGTGTCCAGATAACGAAAATTTACCATTGAAGAGACATCCTCCTTTCTTCTTTGGGGAGCCTGGGTTCATTACAGCCCCCTTAGAATTGAAACATTTGTGCTATAGGTGTAATATAATTTATATCTTATAAACATTTTGGTATTGTTTACAATTAGGAAAGTAATATCTTCTCATATTTGACACTTTGTGGCCTCAGGAGCTCAAGGCTTCCTGCCAGTATTGTAGTAACCGTCCTATAGTAACGGTTTATGAAAGGTTGATAAAATTTATGAACTGACAGGTAAACCAGGGGATTTGTTGACAAGTTTGCAACCAACTGAGAAAGGTGTAGATGTTAGGGAAAGGATTTATAAATATTTTAACTGGGTTCGAGTTTGATTCAATTTGTTACCGTTTAGAATTAATTTCCCGTTTTTGTTTTGTATGCTATTTAAGCTCCAGGGTTGATAAAGCGGGTGGTGCACTACCCTCCATCTTACCTACGCCCTTCTTCACTGTTTAAAAGCTGGCGGCCTACCCTGGGAGCTATGCTCTTTCTCTAATCCCTAGTAGCCACCCTCAAGCCAAGTTGTGGAACAACGAGAAATCGTTTACGAATTGACTCAAGTGATCAACGATAAATAAAAGGCGTGACAAAGTCACGCCCCAAGAAGCCAAGATTCAAATCAGTAAGATTCGGTTCTCCGTAAGAAATTGATTCCAACAAGTGAGTTGAATGTTTTACCAGCATCCAAATGCCAAGAATAAAACGATTTCCTATTCTTATAGAAGATGATCTTACTTTGTTAATCCGGAAAATCGAGAAGTTTGGACAAAAGTTCCAAAATTAGCAAAATGGCTACCAAAAGTACCACAAAAAATTTTGAATTCCGGCGGCAAGACATTCATGGAACCAAAGTCACAGAACACAATTCACCGTACAGAGCACAGAACCCTTATAGGATTCGAATATATGTTCGAATATAACTAATGCGTTCGAATATATCCTTGTATAGTCGTTAATCAGTAAATGAGAACTAAACGAATTACGAGGTATTAAAATATCCCAAAACCTTCATGGAAGTATTAATTTCAGGTTTAAATAGTCGTTGACCTCAAAACAGAACAATTGACAAAATAAAACCGTAACACTGTATTGCAGAAATTTCGATGCCACACAGTATATAATGTATGTTTTATCAAGAGAACTAACAGCTTCAACAGTAAAACAAATTTTCTCTCAATCGAATAACTCACTGCGTGTTGCATTAACTTCATTGGACACCTCTGCAAACTCGAACTTCTGCTCAGAATTGTGGAGGGTCACCTCCACATTGATATCTTGTCCCATGTTGTTCTTCACCAAAACGGGCACCGCAAGAATTTCTCCCCTCCTAACGTTGTAGGGCAACTCTAACGAAACGGCGAAAGATTTCGACACCTTCAGCGTTTTCGGCGACGTAATCAACCCCAAACCATGCAGGGGATGTACCGAGAAGCCGGTAATGGACCACGTGTTCAAAGTGTTCGGGATCCTCCGTCTCAGAGAGGTCTTTCCTTCGTAGCCGGACGTAAAGTTGTTGAAGAGCCACGTGGGGGCAATGTCTTGGGTGAGGTACACCTTGGGCATGTTCCATACCGGTTTGGGGATTCGGCTGAAGGCGTAAGGGCCCGCGAGGGGAGGTCTGGTGACGGAGTGGATCGGCAGGCCGAAACCTCTGTCCGGTTTCACGGTGGAGGAGCCGTAGAAGACCGGGCGCAAATAGATGTCTTCCACTGAAAAGGAAACATAAATTTTTATCATGGAAGAATTAGTCGGAAAGAGCTAGATTGCAAAATAACAGAATATAGTACCAACTTACGTGTAGGCTTATGTCTATTCACATGGGCGTTAGTCTGCAAATCGGCTCCAGATTCCTAAAACAGCATTTGATCTATTCAACTAACATATATCTCGTAAGTTGTAGAATTGTTATGAATGATATTTCAATCGGTTGCAAAAAAAACAGTAGTAAAATTGAAAGTATTTAGTTTGTCCGAAGAATCATAATAGTTCATGCTTGTTGACTAATCGTTAGTATTGAAATGGCGTCTTTGTATTTCACTAATTGTCTAAATATTATTTGGTCTACCATCTGTTGTTACATAAGTGGTCATAGTTGTTATTTCTGTTCTTTGGTACAAGTTGCTGCATCTAGTAGTATCGAAAAAGACAATGTACAGGGTTATTCACTATAAATTACCCACCCCTTATCATCGTTATTATTGCCTATAGAAAAAAAAATTGAATGTAAAAGTTGTGTGCCTATGACTAAATTTTGATAAAATGCTGTCAAAAATACAGAGGCGTGCAGATTTCAGGGGATACAAATTTTTTAATATTTTTTCAAATGGGACACCCAGTATAATATTGAATTTTTGGAATGGTCTTTTTTTCCTGATTTCAAAAATATACCATATGTTACCCCTATCTTATACCGTTTTAAAGTTATTAGACGTTGATTAATGGTGAATTCGTGCACGACGTAACTTAGTCTTAACATAACTTAATCAAATCTAAAGCAAATGGAACTTCAAACGTTCAAGCCAGTCTCTATATACCTACACAGTAGGTTTAATGGACTGATGCCTATCAGAAAACAACTACTCCCCTGGCTAATACCACGAAGGGCGTTAGATTATATCCGACAGGCGTCAGTGCAGGAATCTCCACAGAATTTTTTTTTCATATTCTTATACAACAATTTTCAGAAGCCGAGCTTGCCAATACGATTTGGATGCAAGGAGGGGCAACCCCTCATCTACCTGTTCAAGAACATTTGAATAATGTAGTCCCAATATGGATAGGAAATAGTGGAAGCATTATATGGCCACCTAACAGTCCAGACTTGACCCCTATGGATTAATTTTTCTGGGGATTTCTAAAAGACATTGTTAATAACGATAATAATAATAATAATCAATTAATTAAAGACACGATTCGATGTAAAATAATGAATCTGAATGTCAATGATGAAGAAATTTCCGATGCACTTATAAATATAAGAAGACGTTATCAATTATGCATTGACAATAATGGTAGGCATATTGAACATCTGTTATGACTTATCATGTTATTTAAATTTGAAGATGTTTCGATTCATAGTGTCGGTTAATGTTATAGTTTCATTACAAATTGAACATAGCGCCTTATTACTGGACTCAATCACAAAATACTGAAAGTTCCATTTTTCTTGAAACGTTCTGCATTCACTGTCGATTTTTCACTTCTTTTCCATACTAACAAATCACACATAAAAACAATAAGTCAAATCAAAATACTTTTATTGACGGGTGTTACTTTATTTCACAATAGGCAGTTTCGCTTCCTTCGCCTTTCCTACGCAGACTAACTCGCAGTTGCGCCGCTAGCCTTTTTATATGCAATTATTACTGCCATCTCGAGGTGATCGGAATACACTAGCTAGAACCAGAACTTTCTCGAACCAACGGGGTAATTCCAAATATTTAATTACGCCTAATGCCACCTAGCGGGTAGGCGAAAAAGACTATAGTACCACTACTCGCCACTAGATGTCGGTAAGTGCCACAATACACAATAATAATTGAAATGCAAAAAACGCGTAAGTTTGCTTAGGTCACGCACTTTGCGACTATCCTAGCCTAGAAATATAGTTAAGGGCAGAAATTGGCCTTTGGAACAAACTGAAAAAATCATTATGGCCCGAAGGCTTCAAAGTTTGGAGACCCCTGATCTAGAGCAAAAATAAAAAGTACTTACGTAAATAGCAGTATGTGGATTGCTGGCGCCCGGATGCCAGGAAAACTGAGTTTTTGAACTCATAGTGAATTGCGGGTACGGCGTTCCTCTTGCTATGTCATACCTCTTCAGTTCTTCGGCTATATCCTCCATCGTTAGATCATAACCCTCCCTTAGTAAACCCACATTTTCATCCACTGCCATTAAACCGATATAAGAATTCTGCTGGGCTCTCACCACGAATTCCACGTCTAAATCCGGCTCGCTCTCTACAGTATTCACTTGGATGTCAACCTATAATAGTTTATATAACTGGAATGATTATAGCCCTCAGAAAAGCTAGTGGACACAGCTGCTACATTTGTCGGAGCCGGAGAGAAAATATCTTTCTACATGCCTCTGGAGAAAATGATCTCCAACAGTCTCTACACGTAGGCAACCGGTTTGGAGTTCGAGAAAGACAAATGTGCAACGGTCCATCTCAAAACAGAGGTTGCGTGGACTCGGAGGAAATGTGCATTTTCTTCTTCACAATAAATACATCGTACTTACAGTGTCAAATATTAAAAAAAAAAAATTGTGTGAAAATGTATCAATGATTTTAGAATGTATCAGTCATTTTTTGTAGTCATATTTCCTCTATATAAAAAAGGCGACAAAACTGAGGTAGACAACTACAGACAGATATCTGTTCCCTCTCTAAACTGTTTGAGAAAGTTGTTAGTAACAGAATTCTGAATTACATGGATCAAAATAATCTTTTTAGTAATAACCAATATGGCTTCAGGAAGAACAAATCAATTGAATCAGCTTCATACCATTTATTAAATTTCATTTATACACAGGTTGACTCGAATAAACTAGTTGTAACACTTTTTTTCGATTTGTCAAAAGCATTTGATACCATTTCTTCCGAATTTCTTATAATTAAACTTGCAGGCCTAGGTTTCCCAAATAATCTATTGAACTGGGTGAAATCGTATATGGAAAACCGTAGTCTAATAGTTAGCTGCAATGGCATTTTATCAAGTCCCAAAGATGTAAAACTAGGAGTGCCTCAAGGTTCTGTCCTGGGACCATTGTTGTTCCTCAATTTCATAAATGACCTGTCTGAATTCTTTTCTGAGTGTCACATAACCATGTTTGCGGATGACACTGCAATTACTGTGGCCGACAAAAACGAAGTTGAGTTGTCAGACAAAATAAATAAAATAATAGATAAATTCAGTGCTTGGTGTCAACGTAACAAACTTATTCTGAATAAATCTAAATCTGTTTCAATGAAATCATTTATTAGGAAACATTTCAGCAGTGACTCTTCCACAATAAATGGTATTCGATCTTCCAGCGAAGTCTTGTTTTTAGGAACGTCTTTAGACGAAAATTTGACCTGGAGCGGTCATATTCAGAAGGTCTGCAACAAACTCAATTCCGCATATTACTCAATCAAACAATTGAAAAACACTCTAGATAATTTTGGATTGATGAATGTCTATTTTTCTATGGCTTATTCTCACATCAGCTTTAATATCATTTCTTGGGGATGTGCAAGGGAATTTCCACGAGTTTTTGTTGCTCAGAAAAGATTGCTGAGACTAATTTTTAATATAGATTTTCTAGATAGTTGTAGACCAATTTTCTTAAGAGAGGGCCTATTGACGGCACCTTCTTTATTTATCTTGAAGTGTGTCACTTTTGCCCGTAACAATATAACTGAATTTGTCACAAATGCGGATATACATGGTAGAGACACCCGTCACGGGAAACTGTTAAGAACCCCCTCACACAAAACGGCTCACTTTAGATGCTCCCCACTATTTAATACAACAAACTGTTATAATAACTTGCCGGCATCTACTAGGAAAGATAAACTTTTTAAAATTGAGGTGAAGAAACTTCTCTTACAGAAATGTTACTACAGTCTTGAGGAATTCTTGCACGACACTTTTTCATGACATTTTGAGAGTATTTGCTAGAGCTTCTTCGATTTTTTATATAATACTTCTATGTTGTGAAAGTTTGTGGACGTGAACCATATTTATTGTTTTTGTTCAACTTCTGTAGTTTTATTTTGGTTTTTTAATTATGACTTAGCACATGTACTCAATGTACCAAAGTGTCAAATAAATAAATAAATAAATAAATAAATATCATGTTCACCAATTTTTTCTAAGTGCGTTTACAAAATCTGTTGAATCTTTGCTCTGCTCTGGGTTGCATTTTGGCAATGAAAATATTTTGCACCACCTGAAAATCGGAGAATCTAATACCAATCTAGGGGTGGAACAGAACAAGTTTCTCCGCGGAAGATATATCGGTACAAACTCCGATATATCTGGTTATCTGAATTGCCGGGAAAACAAAATTGCTGCTATAAATATGCTTGACGTTATGATATCAACTTCACTAGTGGAGTGGACTGGGGAGGAGCTGAGTTAAATCGACGTGGAAACCCAAAAAATAAACCTGATGACTCCACGTTCTTTCGTCGTGGAGTTTTCCGTTTCGGGTGAAGCGAATATCATCCGGAAAGAGAAGGAAATGCGGATTGATTATCGAGATTTACTCTTTGCATAATTCTACCTATACCACTCTCTGAATTGTTTTTTTGATTATTGGAGTTCTTGGTGAAGTGATACCCCTTCTACTTTTGAACCTCACAAACATTTTAACACTGCGGCAGAAATTTTGGCTGTATAAATGCGTATTTTAAGTGTACACGATTTTCAGACATAATGATCTCCAATAACCACTCTTCACATTACAATATGAGGAGAGGTTATAGGTAACTGATGTTGGCGAACTCTCCGAAGAAATGTAGCTTAGGGCATAGAGCGTGACTGGCAGTCCCTTTTCAGGATCAGAAAATAATAATAAACAGAATTGACAGCCTTCATTTCTGAGGAATATGAGATTCCGTTCGTTTAGGAACTGAAAATAATCACTCACGAAATTTGGTAACATTCCGTCAATTCCTATATCCAACGAGTCTCCAACCAGCTCTCCATCCGTTCTAACGTAGTACACGATCAAATGACAGACGGGAGCCATCGCATGGGTCGCAGTGAATCGAAAGTTGAACTCTTTGCTGTTTTCCACTTTGAAAGAGTTCGTTAGAAGTACGTCTCCCCGTCCCATCAGTACGTAGTTTATGTATCTCAGTGGTTCTGTACAGTTTACCGCTATTTCCACATCAAGGTTCACTATCGGTCTGTCGGACTCCAAAGAGGCCTGGAGGAAAGTGTTGCTGTAGGATACTGCGGCCGGTATCGGAGAGATTCGCTCTTTTAGATCTTTGAACTCTGCCTGGAAATGAGATGAAATCGGATTAGCTCACTTTCAGGTGCCCTGTATATTTATAAAGATGGGCTTAGTATATGATGGAATCGGCCGATACTTGATGAAAATCCATAACTAACGTATTCCAAAAACACTTTATTGTGAGATTTTCACTAAATTGTTTTACAAAAACGCAACACGTGTTTCGCCATACAATGGCTTCATCTGGCGTGTCTTTCAACTAATTCTACACATTCAATACTAAATATATATATAGTTTAAGGAGTACCTGAAATCAAAGTACCTGTAAACGAAGTACCTGAATTTTAAGTAGCTGATATTTTACCTGAGTTTCTAACGAATTAAATTACCTGCACTTATGTTCCATTTTCACATTTGAAAAAATATATTCAGTAATGGAGAGTTATTGAGTTCTAATTGATCATTCAGTAAATTACCCGAATTCCTGAATCTATTGATTTCTAAACATTCTAGATGATTAAGTTTCAAACTCTTCTCTTCTAAATGTAACACCTCGTACTCATGATTGAACTCATGTCCTTCTGCTAAAAGATGGTTTGCAAATGTGGAATTGGTCTTTCTATTTACAAAACTACTCCTATGTTCTTTAATTCGTTGGAAAAATGTTCTTCCTGTTTGGCCAATATACAGTTTTGGACAAGAGCCACAAGTCAGCTTATATACTCCTGATCTTAGTAATTTCTAACAAGTTTAGTCTTCCTCCTGTAAAGGTTCAATCTCAGGGTTTTTTGAAAGGGGTTTCTGCTGATCCAATGAGACGCAGGATAAGGTGCGAAACAATCTATTTTCAGTTCGAGGGGGAGACAGAGTACTTATTTGGTTGTTGACTTAGTTCTAAAATAATTACAAATGTTTTAATAAAATAGTTAAAAGTAGTTAATAAAAACTTCACACACGTGTTACATCATTTATAGTAATAGAAATCACTACCCATCTAAAATGATTACAGGCAAAGGACTCGACGGTGAATCTTGTCCTTAAGGACCACAGTAAGGTAATTTAGAACGAAGTTCACTTTAGAGAGCAAACAAGAAAAATCTTCGAACAATCGAGCAAATATGGCGCATCAAAAACCGTTCTCTCAGGTCTCTAGAGACGAAAAAGAATCTCGACAGTCGTTCATAAAAAACTTGACCCTGGAAATACTTTGCCAACGCAAAAAAACCGTCAAAATGAAATATTGGTTGCCTATCCCGGAGGGCATGAGGGCCATCGATACTTATGATTAAGGACGGTAGAAAACTGTAAACAACTAGAATCGGCCTTCACTGCGGCGGATAAGTTACCGAGGAAATTCACCAGATGGCGAAACGATACTAGTTAAAATGGAAATAAATGAAATGGATGTGATTTGTCACACTCCTATTATAGATGATCACTTGGCTTGGTGTTGGGATAAAACTCTAGTAATATTTTTTACGTGTTAATAATTGTTTTTACCTCACCTCTATACGGAGTGCAGTTCCATTGGTAACATTCGTAGGAGTGAAGTACTCCAATTTGATGAGCCCATTATCATCCAAGGTGTGGCTGGTTTCTTCATAAACTTCGTCAACCCTTGAGTACCCATGCCTGACGGTGACGCCCGGCATATTTTTCACTGGTGTACCATCATGATTTGTAATTTTCACCTGAAATTTCATAGAATATCTTTAGAGGTAGTAGAGTTCAAAAGTTTCCAGGTCAATATAATCAAGATCGCAAAATTATATTAGCCAATAGCCTCCCAAATCTACTTGAAATCTTAAATTGTTATTTTCAAATTCTTTCATATTTATATAGTTTCGTGAAATAAAAACATGTTCTGATTTTTTTTCCTCCACTATAGCTTCAAGAACTCATTGTGTCATCTTCTGTGAGTTCTATACAAGCTGTTTTAATAATCCTTGGCTATTCGTAGTTTAACTACCCAAAGAATCTTGTGAAGTGACCACTGAATGACAGCTAAAAGGTGTCAAGAGAAATGACAGTAACTGATGACTTAAGGATCTGAAATCCTTCCTTTCTGAAATTCTCTATAAACTTAGTAGCTCGTTAACTTTCAACGGTACCAAAATAACCAGAACGAAGCACCATTAGAAAAAATACATGGGCGAGACCAAAAACAAATCACCCTTGATCTAACATTTGTCAGTGTTATTTTGACCTGCCATAGGACTCATCAGTAATAATATTTATTGATTTCTTTAGGACATCCTAATATACATACATTGTTTTAAAAATATATAAATAAATGACATAAATAACAAAAAGGATGATATGATAGAAGAAAAAAAAAATAAAAACCATTTTTCAATTATTCCAGAACAGTTTCAACATGAGGATATACATAATAAATGTATTACCAAACAAAAAAAAGAAAATCAAGTATGATATTTTATATAATTCATGAGTTTTTTTTTGAATTGGAAAACATTTATTGAATCTTTCAATGAAAGTGGAAGTTTGTTAAACTCATTAAAATTTTTATAAGATAAAAACTTCATCGTACTAGTCAAATTAGTTCTAGGAAGTTGGAATTTTTGGGAGCTATTCGCTCTTGTTAAGTGGTTATGGATTTGAGATTTATTATAAAGAATTCTTCAAAATAACTTGGAAGCAAGTTATGTGTTAGATTGAAAATGAATATCATTGCTAACTCGTAGTCTCTGGGAAACAGACAGCCACTGCAATGTACTTAACATGTTTGATATACTAGAATACCTATTCACATGTAAAATAATCCTCATTCCACGATTCTGTAACTTTTGTAAAGCCGACCTTATTTTGGTCAAATGAGTATAAAAAACTAGCACAATAATCAAAATGGATTTGGATTATACAATTATATAATGTAATTTTTGAGTACATCGAAAGCTGAGATGGAATTCTTGAGAAAAAATATATTTTTTTAATAATTTTTCTATATATATAATCAAAATGAGCATGAGGAGATAAACGATTATCCACCATGAAACCTAAATATTTGAATTCACTTACGAACTCTATTACATCACCTGCAATTTGTAATCTTATGTTGAGATTGTTGATGAGTGATGGCTTATAACCAGTTGAAAAGATCCTATATTTTGTTTTGGAGATGTTGACTTTTAATTTATTGCTATTCATGTACTTGAAAACATTTCTTAGTTCATTATTCATTTGATTGGCTACTGTTTCTATATTATCTCCTGAAATTGATAACAAAGTGTCGTCTGCAAAAAGGTTCATGAAATCACAACCATGAATGATATCTATATCATTCAGGTAGATTAAAAATAATATAGGTCCCAAAACACTCCCCTGAGGTACCCCGAAAATGACATCGCGAAATGATGACACCGAATCCTTTATTTTGGTTAACTGTTTGCGTTGTGATAAATAATCAGTCAGCCATAACAAACAAGCCTATATTTAGGCTTGTTCTTGGACATCTTCTCCACGAAGACATGGTCTATTTCAGGAGACTTAAACAATGAATATCAAAGAAAAGAAGCTCGGTATGAAACTAAACCCAGTACAAAACCAAGTTTACACATCGGCATCGACCGCTGTATTAGATTATCTTCGATTGTTCTTTTTCGGAGCTCTGGTTTCGACTAGTTACCTTGCAGTTGATGCCAGACGACCAAACTCATTCGGCGAACGATTTCGAAACTTGGCTTTGCAACAGACCTTCAAGAGCTCCGTTATACCCCGGTGTAAGTTTTCTGCCGATTACATAGGTGGCATCTTCGTTAGGTTAAATGTACATGATTACTAATGAATACCTACATAGGTTAGTGTCTGTTTCTGATGTGGTGGACGGACGTGCCGATAACGACCGTCCACAAAGAAAGTACGTGGACGCCATCGTTGAAGATGGAATTCAGTTTGTGCCAACATTAAAATAAATATTAGCATTAGTGTCAACGTGAGTTGTATAAGAGTTTAAAGAGAAATAGCACCCTCATTCACGCCGGTTAAAGGCCGGAGTGGACCGAATGTTCACATGGAAATAGGATTGCATCATTTATACCTTTCATGAAGAAGATTATGAGGAAGATTAAAAAAGGGGTGCAGTATTTTGTAAAGCAAGACTTCTGTATGGCTTGCTGCGCCAGAATGGAAGCGAATGCCTATAATAGAGAGAGAGGGAGAGACCTACATGGGTTTTTGTTGGTGAAATATCGTAGCTCATTTACTGAGGTTCACCAGATAGAATGGTGGGGGATAGGAATAGAATTTGGTTGTATTCGGACCATTACTATTGATATTGAAAATTGGTTGGAAATTTTTTTGAATTCTTTGATATTCAACAGATTCTGGATTCACCGATGACGGTCGAGTACGAAAAAATATCTTACATAAGCCGTATATTTGAGGCCAGGCTTGAAGTAGTCCGCAGTCTTTATGAGCTGCATATGGTAATCGTACTTGTGGATATGAACTTCGACGCTATTATTTTGCCTACGACCTGTTGGTTTTTCTTCTACTATCACGTCTACGATGACCGTCCTCTCGTACTCATCGTTCAGTCCCAAGTCCTTTTCTATATCGAATTCCACCGTTATGCTGCCATCGATTTCCTGAACCTTGCGGATGGGATTCTGGAAGATCGGCTGGATTACACCAGAGTATATTGTGGGATAAGCCGTGACGGTAGCTTCACCCTGGATCTTTCTTCCCAAATGCGACCTGGAAAAAATGCGTTATTTTTTCTGAGCAACTTCAATGCGAAAGAGTCACTCACCTCGTACTGATCTGAGCTCTTATTATGTTATTTCTGAACGTCACGTGTTTGTCTGTGGTGATATCTACGAAAAACTTTGGATAGATGTATTTGGCCACTTCCACGGTTTTGTTGTACGTTTGTCCGTGGATTGTAACGGATATGTTCCAGTTGCCTAGAACTGGGCTTTCGCTGAGTTTAAGATCGCCGGTGAAAACACCTTTGATCACTTCCACTCCTCGCCATTCCTTCACTCTGTTTCCGGAACCGTCCTGTAATATAAATCAAAATATTTAAAATGCTTTTTGATTAGTTTCAGTGTAGCGCATCGTCCCCCGTCGTCTTACAGTAGACGCGATGCGTAATGGCTTACTGCGTTGCGTCAAGTTAATCTTATCGTGATAACTTTTGAATGATTCGTCCAAATTACTTAGTTGTAAAAGACAAAGTTTATCTACAGGGCTATTCATTGTAGCCTATATGTTATTCTGACGTATAAGCTGCATTTAAGTAAAGTTTCATCTAAATCCGTTCAGTCGTTTAGGCGTAAAGGAACCACAAACAAACATAAATCCATCCTAACAAACTGTCACATTTATATTAGTATAGATAGATAGATGTATAAATTGCTTACCGAAATGTGTATATGAAGCAACTCATTCCTAACTTCGGCAGCAGGTTGCAATCGCCAATTCAACACAATAGCCCGGAACATGATTTTTGATCCGGGCTGGTACACTTGTCTGTCCGTTTGTATGAACACCGAATAACTCTTGTGAACGAATTCCATCGGGAAGACTGTCGAGAAGTCCAATCCTCCGGATCCACGTACCTCCAGGCTGTATTCTCCATCTTCCAAATCGCCGATCTGTGGAAAAATAACTTTCACAGTATAGTCAACATTATGAGAAATTTGAAATCAAGAGCATTGTCATTTCCAATCTCGAGTTTCATAACGAAAATCTCTAATCATTCTAGAATCACCTAGTGAAAAATAATTTTCCAAGAGCGCTTATTCGAAAAATAATTGATGAAAGAATTTCCACTTTTTAAAATACAAAATTCAACACCAAATATCAGGAAATACCATATGTAGAAAGTTTGTCTGAAAAACTTGGAATGCCATTTGGTAACGAACATATACCAAGTGACCTTTCCAAATGAAAATACAGTTCAAAGTATTCTTCTCAAAAGAAAAACTTAAGCACCGCAAGACATACCTACAATCCAACATAGTGTACGAATTGATGTAGGAAAGCTGTCCTGAATGCTATGTTTGTCAAACTGAACGATATCTTGAAACACGAGTTACAGACCACATGAGAGACCTTGTGTAGTGTCTTTTGTGTCTCGAAAACTTTATTAATTCAGTGGTTTTTATTGAAGCGATAACTTCTTATGAGAGGGTAAACCGCTTCGTTACCTAACTCGTAACGGCACCAGTTTGGCTTTCCTTTTTCTCACGCATACGTTAGCGGAAAGCAGGCTCCTCCTCTCTCGTCGGAGAAACGCTCAGTGTTTAGTGTGCGTTAGATATATACTGTTGACTGTATTATAAAAATCAAACCAGCAAGCACGTAATATTATTTTTTCTACACCCGTACTCTAATAATACACTTATATGACCATAATCCGTTTCATAATGATATCCATTATGATACAGATTTTTCATAACGATACAGATTATCAACCAATAGAAACCCATAATTTTTCAATCAAGAATCATGTTCCTTTGTCCTAGATTCTAACCTAAGTAACTAATTGCTTTATTTGTCAAAATCAGTTTTCATATTACCTACCTATATTATCAAAATGTCTGAAAACAGCGATATAGAAGGAATACCATCGACTCCAATATTTTTAAAAGATCAGATTAATTACAGTTGTTATATTCGATATAAATATAATTAGAATCTTTATAGTTTTCATATATCCATGATAATACCATTAAGTTTGTGTTTTTTTAAAAAAATATGAGTTAATTACTGTAAATGTGTTCAATACAAATATAATATTTATAGTTTTTCATTATTTATCGGGTTTAGAAAAAATAGCGTATGCAACTCTCATGTATAATGGTTATTAATACACTCGCATGTACCATACAAAACTCGCCTTCGGCTCCTTTCGTATCCCGGTTAATGCTTTTGTCTTAATAACCATCATTACATGATCTTTGCATAATATACTATTATTATTTGAAACGAGGCTTGAAAATAATGATACTAATTTTGTGCATGTACATTATTAGTATCATTATTTTATCCTACAAAAGTAACAATTGGCTTATGGTAGCTATAATATATGTACATACACAATATACCTAATCAATAAAAGATTTTATTAATAAATAACCTTTCCTTATATTATCATATTGATATAGATAAAATTTAAGTAATAACCTAAGCTTTTCTCAAGTCAAACAATTTCAATATTAAATAGTTCAATTTAGATTAGTTTAAGTTATCACTTCTGTCGAACGTCCCGACACGCACACGTTTTTTATCATGTGTCTGATGTCTTCAAAATAGTTATTTATCTTATTCCTTTGCTTATAGGTACTTCAGCTCTTACATACATACATACAACTCAAAATGGGTTGTTACAAAAAGGTATTGAGGTTATGAAAATTATCCGCGAATGACATATCGTCGGCAAGAAGGTTTTTGACGAAACTTGGTTTATATTTGAAAGTACCGTTTATTGTTAAAAAAAATTATAGTTTTTTGAAAAGAAAGGTTTTGGGTTGCCAATTCCCCATTAGGGTTCTATGTAACTGAAATGTTATACCGTAACTGTTCCAGACACGAAATTTTGTAGCTTTCCTTCAATTGATATCTGATTCAATTCCATAACGAATGTTCGGAGCACAAACTGAAGAGGAAGAACACGTTCTAATTGAAAACATATTACAGTATTATTGGAGAGTAAAAAAAGTTATAAAGACAAAAACGTATTCGTAGTTTCAATCCGAATCTATGATATGCTCACCTCTAACCTGCAAATTCCTGAACCGTAAGGCTGCACGACGAGCTGGTCTTGAGCGAGGAAGGGCGTCCCTTGGAAAGCGGTGCCCCGGAGGACAACCGTCACGCTGGTGGGTTGCGACGTCCCCTGCACGCCGACCGCGCAGTGGTACTCGCTGTTAGGCCTGATGACCCTCGGCCCCACTACGTTGTAGTACCTACGCAAAGAAAATTTTGAATAGAACCGTGGGATTTGGATCGAGGGCATATTTGTTCTGTTTGTCACAGCCGGTATAGGCGGGTTTATAATACTTCAATGCGAGTGTTACATATTTTTCTTACTCACCGTATACACATGACTATCAAAAGTCTTTTGCAAGTTTTCATTTCAGATTATACAACAACATTGATTGTTTGAAGTAAATACTATACATTTTCACTTTATAATCGTTTCAATTATATACACCAATGGAACAGCGACTTGAAAATGATCAATTACTCCGCTGCTCAAAGTAATATACTATAAAACAAATGAACCAACTCCGTGATCATCAAGAAAATACTGGGTATCAAGTTAAAAATATCGTACCGCTTGGGAATTAATGAACGGCAGGTCATTTTCATGCTCAGCAGCAGATTTTCTGTCAGAACAACAGTACCTAGATTGAATTTTAACTCTCAAACAATAGAAAAGTAGCTCAAGAGCCAAATCAGGAGAATTACTGCAAAAACAGACCCGACAACACTGAACACGGCGCTCATCTCGTGCGATTGCTTCTTCATCTACAATAGATTGATTGGAAATATTCCGTAGTCTAATAGTATTTCGTCTTCGTTGTGGAAGATTCGATTTTCTCGCTCGCGGTATTTGTATATATTAGATTTATCGGCAGAAAACTGGAAACATATTTTTCCAATTAGATCTGTTGTTTTTTATGTCTCAATCAAGAAAATATAGTAACCTTGAATAAAACCCAAACATATCTACACCAATTATTATATTTGTCTACCTATAAAAGTCATTATTTACTGTTTGTGTCACTTCATTTCTCTCGATCAGAAAATGCTCATTTCAAAATCCCAAACATAAAACAACCGGTTTAAAGCATCCACATAAATAAAAAAAAAAATTTGGCTCGCCTTTCCAAATACGGTCGTTCTAAAGTGAAATTGTAGAATATATTTGTCACCCACTCAAAAATCCGTTTACGTCACCGGTGTATTTGGTTTTTAATAGATACCAAATTGCTTAGAAGTGTTACGCAAAAAAGTTGGAAATAACAGACACATATATGCACAAGTGAATGCACTTATCATGTAACAGTTATTATGTAGAATAATATGAATGCAATTGTGATGTAATTTAAGATTTTCCTGGCTATAACTCTAGTACCAATTTCATGAAAGGTTCTTATATTTCTTTACACATGGAACACAATTCTTTAACATGAATGCTCTATTTTTATTTTTTCGAATTCCTGAGAGACTTACATTTGTTTTAAATGACTATAGATCCTATTGTTTTAGAAAAAGCATTCTCGAAAAATTTCGCCCTCTATTGGAGAATCAAGCATGCCGTATTTGGTTAGCACTTTCCACAAAAGTTTCTGTAAAGGTGGGGCAAGTTTTAGGCTATCCAAGTTGCTTGTGATATTTGGGTCTTCAGTCACGTGGATGGTCAATGGTCATGGATTAATTTTATGGAATTTTATGGTTTAATTTTACGCGCCAAAGTTTCCAAATTCTACTTATCAAATATGAAATTAAAAATGTAATAAGAATGCTAAAGAAAACAAGTTATCGCAACCTACTATGTTGGATTAATTGGCCAAAAACATCAATGGATGAGTGTTTCTAAAAATGTGTTTATAATAGTGGTTTTTAATTTTTATTAAGTACGTGGGAGTATAGAAAACCACGTAACTGAATGGGAACGTAAGATTGCATCTCAGTCCATAATTGTGAATGAAAATAAGTTTCGTTTCTCACGTACCGTCTCGATCTCTCTGCGAGTGAGAGTGAAATGTTTTACCATTGTTATGAATACATTTTATGGCAACTTTCTCTTTGTTTACTTATACAAGATTCTGGGCAATAAGAATACAGTCAAGAAACATTTATCCACTTCAAGAAATTTCAAGTACTTAATCGATATAAAATAAAGTTTCATCTTCTTTTCGAAATTAAAAATAGAATAGTGCTCAAATTCACTTGATATTTATATTGAACATGTGTAACATTTATATTGATCATGTTATAAATGAAGAGGACAACATGTGGAAATTAGGCCATTAATTTGAGGAATATGTAAAACCTTTAATCATAGGATTTGACGAAGATTCATCGGATTTATCTGATGATAACACAACATAGATTTTAGTTTTAACAAGTATTTTTGATTAAATACCCAAACGCACACCACTGCAGGTAATCAAAGGACTGGAAAGCTCAAAAATCTTTTGTTTTTGACCCGTTTGCCATACAAAAATAGGGCGGATCCGGTAAAGTATTATAAACCTGCCAATCCTTTCTGTAGCAGATCATAACGAAATCACAAAATTTTCTCTGAGCACTCTGTTGCCTTTTGCTTTCATAATTAGTATTTTCCACTTTTCACTATTAGGAAACTGTACTGTATTTAATCAGCAATATTTTTTTTTATTACGGAAGACACTATTTGACTTGACGTCATCGATAACTCTTACAAAGGAAACAAATTTGAGAATATGTAGAATATTGAATGACACAACGAAATTCGTCACACATACAGTTCTAAGAAACCTACTATTTGTGCAGATGTGTAATAGGTATGCAGCGTAGGATTTATCATGAACGCAACCTTGAACGACTCAAAGGACTTTTTTTATTTTCATGAATAATGCGGCCGTGATGTCATTACTTTTGAAATTCACTTTCAGCGGCCAACTGCATAGTTTTGATTTTTTGGTACATTTCAGAACTATCAGGGATCATCTAGAGAACGAGTTAAATATAGCGATAGAATGAAACTCACCCTTGACAAGAAACGTTTGTGATGAACAACAAAAATATTAGTGCCAGAAGGTCCATCGTTGTTTTTTTTCTTCGCAAATCGAACTTTACATTATCCACTGGATGTTACACTTGAGTAATCTCATCCCGCAGATCAGTACCACACTTCCACACTTTTCGTTTAGAATACGAATACACAAACACTTGTGACACTTGTTAAATCAGGAATTGTCCAGCAGTACCGCCGTGTTGCAGCTCTGTAACGTTAGTACCGACTGCAGTCGGCATCGGCAGTTGAATCACGTTGTGGTACTACCTTGTTTTGTCGATCTCGGACCACCCATCCCACTCGAATGTTGCGGATTTCGAAGTATCTGTAGGTCAAATACGGAACCATGGTTTTGTTATTACTAATAACTTGAGGTCGGTCTTAATAAGGGAGGAAACCTTCGTGACTAACATCTTGGCTATATTGGGGAGGTTTTGTAAAACAAGTCATTATTGGGAAAGAAAGCCAAAAACTTTCTGTTGAGACCAAGAAATCTAACGTGAGATTTTGGAACCAATTGGTAAATATCTTCACTATTAATTGTTGCCATTATTAATTTTTTAAACCAATTTTGAACCTCACAAAGCTTTCTCTTAGACTTATTCAAAGATGAGGAGCTGTTAGAAAACCTTGAAGAATGATCAACAAGGGCTATAGGTAGGTATTAGCTTTTTGTTTGAGAATAGATTCCGATCTATCGGAATATGATATTTACATTATTAACATACTCGTCCAAGTAATGTTTATAGATGAGCAACAGTACTGGAGCCTTGTAACATATACACTGATATATCAAGTAATGAAGACTCTACGTTTCGTCGAAAACTGATTTTATTGGTATTGGTGTTTCTCATATACTGTTTTCTTTTGGATATTCTATGTTATACATCTTAGACTCTGCAATATAATTAATTATACATTTAGTATATTAGAGTATGGAAAGTATCACAAAAGTGGCAATCATCAATGTAGAATATATAATGACTATGTCATTGTTGTCAATCGAATATGTACTCAAAATGTTTTGAATAAAACGCACTAAATAAATAAAATCGACATCTCCCCTGACGAAGACGCCATCTTTGGGATCGATAGAGAACTCAATCCTTGGATGTCAAATACAAACTAGGCTCCCTAAGGCGATTAGTTGCGAAATGAAGCTTCGACCACAGTAGAATTATTGTCCAATAGATGGCGCTTCAGGCTCATTATTTAAGACCAGTTGAGTGATTTAGCCTAGCACCACTGATGAGACCTATGGCGGGTCGAAATAGCACTGTCTAGTGTTGAATCATGAATGGGTAGTATTTGGGACCTGGTTTTCAAAAACACCCCAAATTGACGTCTTGGTGCATGCGCCTAGAAAGTGAAAGTGGAATAACCAGGCATTTATGACAAGACACACTATTCGATAACTGCGTTGCATACTTTGTTTAGATACGAATTGGATATTACAGTTACAGACACAGTCACTTTACTGAAACAGCAAAAGCAACTTCTCTGAAGGTTCGAAGCCTATTTCAAACTAGAAGATGACACAGCAATCCCGACAACTTTGAACTCTTTCACTACAAGGGATTTCAATACGATCTCCTCTTTTCTGAATCATTCTACGCGAATTTTTGCCGTTTTAAAGAATTCATATGTTCAACATAGTGCCATCTATTGGTGAGTAGATATACTTTCCATATGCTGCAGCCGAAGAATACAGATCCCTAGAAAAAAAGTGGTATTTTCATGTCACCTAAAATTGTTAATACTTACCCTGACCACCAGAGAACAATGTCATTAATTAATGTATCAACAGAATTGGCAGTCGCTAACAACCAGAAGAATTTGATTTCAAAGAACTTCGTTGACGATTTTGTCCAAAATAAATTTTCAAAATCTCTGTTTTACTTAAAATAATGATATAGAAGACATTGTAGACATTGTCACTTTACTGAAACAGCAAAAACAATTTCTCTGAAGGTTCGAAGCCTATTTGAAACTAGAAGACGACACAACAATCTCAACAACTGTGAACCCTTTTATAACAAGGGATTTCAATACGAATCCTCTTTTCTGAATCATTTTAAGTGAAATTTTGCCGTTTTAAAGAATTCATATGTTCAACATAGTGCCATCTATTGATGAGTAGATATACTTTTCGTATGCTGCAGCCGAAGAATACAGATACCTAGAGTGGAAGTGGTATTTTCATGTCACGTAAAATTTTAGTTCTTACCCTGACCACTAGAGGGCGATGTTAATATTTAATGTGAGTATCAACAGAATTAAAATAAATTTTCAAAATCTGTTTTACCTGAAATAATAACATAGAAGACATTGTAGAATAGTTAAATGTACCGTCCAACTGATGAAGTTATCGTGTGGCGAAACGTGAATATTATATGATCATTATCATCCATAGGTAAATGATTTTCATCAAATGAATCATTGTATTCATAATTCATGCTAATTGTTTATTTTTTCAGTTTTTGATGTTTCCTCATACAAATATTTATTTTGCATTTTTTTGTACTCATTTCAAATTTGTAAACTTTTTTTTAGACAATGTAATTAGGTTGTTTCAAAAGTTTTGTTCATTTTTATGTGTCTACTTTAAACTACATCTTAGTGAATCAATATTACTGAAGTTTAGTCCCAACACCAAACCGTTATTTTTAACACTTCAACACGTGTTTCAATGACCAAGGGGAAGATTATTCTTCCTCTTGAAGATGATCACTTGGTGATTGAAAAAGATGCATAAAAGTTAAATTTGTCAAAAAATTAACAGCATCCATGTATCCGTCTGTTTTTCCGTTAACCAGCTGTCGCACCCCTACGAACGACAACCCTCAGAAGTCGAAACTTGTGCGAGCTAAGCATTAACGAGGTGTTTCCTTTTAACGTGTGATTCCTAACATGTATAGAGTACAATATTTTCTGGCGATCAGTATATACGACAGAGTAGAATAAATATTTATCGAAATATTGAGCTACAAAAATACATTACCTATATTAAAACGGACAAAACTTTTGAAACAACCTATCATTATTATTCATCAAGAAACATTGTCAACCACAATCAAATGAGCAACTCTGTTCACTGCTCCTTTGCAAGGAAGTTCAAGACACCCCATATTTTGGTTTTGAGGTGAAAGAAACAACACGAACGACAAATTGTTTATTAAAATTAATAAGTAAAACAGAAACATGAATACATAGTAATTACTTGCATTTAAATTACTTATATGTACAATAAGTTGTTGATGTTTATACTCCTGACAAAGGAGTGGAATAAACTTGGTAACATTGTATCCTCAACTTTCAACACAATGCGTCTCGGATATAAATTTGGAACACTTAGCTTTGCAAAAATTCTTACATAGTGTCACAGTGGGATTTTGCGAGACAAAGACAAAAATACACGAGTATTTTCTTAGTGTTTACCATTTATTGGGATAGAAGGTGATGGCGAGAAACATTAATATTTTTGTTTTTGTCGTCAATAGAGTACATCTGAAAAAGTTACAAAAATGACAGCATTCGTATTTTACATACATTGAAATCTTACCCAGAATGTCTAATAACAGCTATTATAGAGGTAAAATGTAATATAACAATTATTTATGAACTGAGATTCCCTGAAAGTTCTGTTTGAATGTTTGTACTCGTGGTTTCCTGAGTTGTGTAAACAACACACACGTCTAGGTAAGCTTCTGGTACAAAGGATACAAAAATTATTTTAAATATATATAATATATAGATTTTTGTACTAATTCTTTATGTGAAGCACATTGCTTGACGTGAACTTACTTGAGGTAGATTTTGTATTTGTACTGAATATTTTCAACGATGACTCCATACAAATAGGTTAACAGGCAACAATTATTTCAATGATGTACAGTATTCGAGTGCCTTATATACAAGGTGTCTAGTTGGAGAGACGCGAACGAACTGACCGCAATAAAAATAATACAATGTCATTTCGACCGCATTTCTCCAACGCAACTTGGTGATTTTTCACATTCAACGTTCATACATCCATACACGCTCCGAAAATATTGAATTATGAATGCAGTCCGCTAAATATTTCAATTTTTTTTTAATATGATCCGAGTTCACGGAAATCTACTGGATCAAGACTCAAAATTGTTGTTATGAACACCAAATGCTGAAAAGTATTATCAAACATGTCTTCGAAAATCATAATTCTTTCATCTCTAAACGAATTTTTTTTTTTTGGAAAATGGTTTTCGGATGGACTGTCATTTTGATCAAATTTTCTGTTGTTACATGAAAAATTGAGATGTTTTTTCAAAAATTTATGGCAACTGAAAAATATTAACCAGTTTTTTGAAAATTAAATGAAAAATCGTACGACACATTAAACTTTTTCATTATTATTTTCCGTTTTCAATATTGCACACAGGTAAAGGTACTACGAAGTATATTCGAATTTCCAATGTCTGAAGCCCCAAGATAAGGAATTAATTTGTAAGAAATGAAAAAATATCCCCATTTTCAAGAGCTATTGAAAAAAAAAAGTAGAAAATATAAAGCTAACACTACGAACATTTCTATCGTACTAAATCTGTAAAAACTGATTGTGAAACCAAAGGAATGGAATAATTGAAAGATAAGCTAGAAAAATCGTGTCAAATGAAAACACTTTTCCCACCCTAGAACTAGAGCAGCGACTCTCGATGCATGTTTTTGTCATCTCCTGATGATGCTAATGTGGTTGGAGAAATGTCACATTTTAGACCAGACGTTCCAATTCTACCCATCAAGTTAGAAATATTATGACAGTTAAAAACTTCCATTGATTGAAAATTTAATAACCTAATGAATGGATAAGATAATATGGTTATTCATTGTTTTTAAATTTCATTTCTATTAATCTTTTTTCAGGATTTACTTTCCAACATAGTCATTTTTATCGTCCTCCAATTTCTTTGTTGTTTGTTATAATTAATTGTTTACCTCATTTTGTTTAGATTGTTTCACATATCCAGCTTCTCAGTTATTTTATTTTCAACGCCTACACAACTTGTCTACCTTCTTTAGATTGTCATCAGTTGTTAATTCGAAGAAAAAAAAAAAAAAAAAAACAACAATACCGACGCCGAGAATGCATTTTGTTTGTTTTTCATAAGTAGAATTGGAACTTCTGGCATAAAGTGAATCTAACAAAAACACCTTGTTTAAACAAACCACAACAAAAACACTGCCTTTTTTTGTAATATCTGAAATTCAACTTTTCAAAAAATTGCATTTTGAGAAACCTGGACTTGACAGTAAATCTACAATTATTTTGATTCAGGCAATTCCACCAAAAACAATCTGCCATAAAAATTACAAGGTACTTTAATTCTAAATTCAATCCAATTAAACTTCAATTACCTATCTGGTCAGATATACTTAACGTTATACAAAGCGTTTCAAAAGTACATTGTGAAAATTGACGTTACTCTTTGAACTGGAACTGAAACATCAACAAAGGGTAAATCTCTGCAAGTTCAGGAATTTTGAACTTACTTAATTATTGAGCATCTTTAACGAATTCAAGATTCCATTACTCACAGACAAGAAAAATGTTTACCACAAACATACACGGGTTGAATTTCCTCAATGTATTCAAAAAACAATCCGTATAATTTATTCTTTCTATTTATCTCTATCCAAGTTGACAAATTCACACAAAGCTAATCACAGTGATGATAGAAAAATACAATTCTTCAGACGCATCGCGTCAGCTCGAACAAAAACTTTTCAATGATTCTAAATCACATTATGATTCTAAGTTGTAAAATGAAATATTCAACAATAAACTGTACAAAAATAAATTTTTAAATGATATCGAGCGATGCCATCGTAATTTGTCGAAATCCAGTTAAATTTTAACTGTTTCCAAAAACAATTAGAGAAGCGTTAAACTTATGAAAATAATTACAACCTAAAGTTTTTTAAACATCGAACCCTGATGCCTCAGAATATAATATATATATATATATATATTTATACCATAAATCATAATCTTATCTATCTAACAAAAATTACCCGTTTCAATGTTTGTCAAACACACAGATCATTCGTATCGATCCTGCGATACAAAAAAGAATATCACCCATAGAAATAAATATAATTACAAACAATCTCGAATGTATCGCAGAATCAATTTTTGCACAATCACTCTTAAAATTAAACATTTGAGTTACTTGAAAGTAAACACTATTTTATACTAGACCATGACTATTAGAAACGACGAAAACTAACATGAATTCCAAAAAAAAAAATTAATGAAATTAAAAACGCATACGCTACAATTTATTGTTATTACATGGTCTATGGCAATCGTATTCGTATACCTACTGCTTGGAGAAGGCTAATTATCCTTGAAAAATATTTTATCGCAAGGTAAAAAACATATTTGACACATGCTGTGTTTCAGTTACAGCAGCAACACATCACACATTATAGGAAACTACTCAGCGGTAGCGAATCCAGATACAAATGTCCTGGACCTCTAATGAAGCATCCATTGTTTAAAATATAGTAATCTTGAAATCACCAACAGCACAACAATATAAAAACATTGGCTTTCAAAGTTAGAGTCACGATGGGACAATTAGGCCGTGGTCAAAAGGAAGTTCTAGTACCAAACGTTTAATCTGCTACTGCCGCAGACTTCTTTAGTGCTATATTCGTAGACTGCGACGATGAAGGTGATATCTCGAAGTCTCAGCAACGACTAACTAGGGACCTCTGTGTCTTTACTCGTACTTATACTGCCAGGGGTGGCAGTAGTGAGAGTGAAGATACTATGAGAATTCTCACTCCTGATTGAACCGCACTTGCGATAGGTTGTCCAAATATACGCATACATCACTGAAGATGTCTGACGCAGTACCAGACGAAACCATTGGGTTCTTTCGACTACTGCCTAAGAGCCGTGTTCTCTCTAATCGCGCAACAGTTCAACACTGTATGAATTGAGAGAACCATTAACAATGTCGTGTTTGGTAAAACATTGGAGAATTATTGAAAATACCTGCCGGGGTTGAGATTGAGTTGTAAAGAAGATACAATGACAAGATACAATCACTGAACCATTAGTTCAGATCTGTGAAGGGTTTTTCATAGAAATAAACGTTTCAAAATATATGAGAAATAAAATACACAAGTGATTTTTGTTAATAACAACGATGTTGCTGCTGAAACTGTTACACGTAGGGAAAACTGAAAATGGAAGACGTTTTGAATCTAGTAAAAACACCATTTTTTCCGCTAGGATATACCTAGATGGATGGTCAGCCGCAATAAAATAAGTGATAAAATATCGGACTGTGGCAGTGAAGCTTTTTTAAATTAGTTGAGGCAATGGTGTTTGAACACGTTAAATAGTCAAGTCTATTTGAAGGTTCCAGGATAATTAGCTTTGAATAAAAACGACATTATAATATTGCCCGTTAATCACCGAGTGTTGTTTGGCAGTTCTCAACAAATATATTGCAATAAAAGGCTCATTCACGCGGATTAAATAGTGGAGTTTGTACTAAGTATGATTCTACGAGTGTAAAGATAAACAACAATGGAACTATTTTATTGTATAAACTATCGACTACTGAAAATAAATAGTGTCATGTTTCAAACGAGGTAGATGCGGTTACTGTCTATTAAACTCTGTATATGTATCTGTATGTGTGTATATTATAAAAACCCGTATTAATTAATGTAGGAATACTGAAATCTGAGGTAGTTGAGTACTGTTACTATTTCTTGCGTTGTTGACTAGTATATGCTTAAAATTAATATCGTATTTGGTTCATTCCGTGAATATATTTATTAAATGGCAGATGAAAACTTGAGGGGGATTCGAAATATTGAACTCGGTGAAATAAGGATTGTTTCTGATATATTTCACATAAATTTCGAAATCGATGTGAACTGATTAAGGCTAGTGAACTATGAAATATTTGATTTTCCAATAAAAATTGAGTATCTGTGAAAAGTACTAGATACAGAAAAATTCCTTCAATTTTTTCAAATCAACTCCTCATTGAAAAATAGAATATCTGGAAAACTTCAAATTCATTTTGAAGGGAAAAGAACCTGGTCTCTGGTTGTGGATATTTCAAAATGTCGTGAGCCTCTATAATTGAGAACTGTTTTTAGATAGAATAGATAGAATAGAAGAAAAATAATACATAAAAAAAATTAAGGTAGTTTTTTTTATTTTGATTAAATATGAATTTGAATATTCAGGATTTTGGTTACAAATGAAAAATAAATTAGATTAGAACTGAAAAAACTAGAGAAATATTGAAGGCAGTTTCTATAATTCGGCAAACTGATCTGATGAAATTTTTTATGAAGGAGCAAAAGCACACTTGTAGATTCAATACAATTCTCTAAAATTTTATTGGAAAATCAAACAGAAGCGAGAGATTCTTGACTTCATATAAACCGACATGAACTTAAATAAAAATCCTGATAATAAACAATTAGATAGCGGAACATTGGCGGCCAGTTTCGTTTTGAGAATAGATTTCGAAAACACTCCAGAAGAAGCAGATTTCGCGGAAATAATATTACAGTGGATTCGATCAACGGCCTTCTTGAAGTGCATAATATCAACACGACAATTATATTTGTAGAGGTAGGCAATCATCAATTCTGTCGCCGATGGTTTTCGAAAACTTAAACCTAGATTTATTGTGTTTGCACTAATGACTAGCGGATAATAGAAAAAAAATGAAACCTGAGGCAGAGTAGTTACAAATGAGGTAGTTTAAAGCCGCTCGGGCGATTGTTTTTTTTTTTCTACGAAAAATACTTAAACTAGAACGTAACTAACGATCCGCGGATAGGCGGAGGAAATGTTGCCCCCTCCGAACCGCTTTTGGAAAAAATTACAACTTTAAAAAATATATAAGTACAACAAAAAATATCTTCTACAATAAAATAACAAAATAAAAAAATATTCCTGAATAGGCAACAGATTCTTCACTTTATAATATTAACAACCTGAACGCAACGAGCAATGCACATCGATTATTACTCAAGGCAATGATAAAATCTGATCATTTTATTCAACCTAAATTTCGACAACGTCTTAGATATGAATGACCCAGGACCTTCAAATCCAGGCACTTGAGAAACACCGGTGATGTTTGCATTTCGAAATTAAATCAAAATTATTGAACTGGAGCGTTTCAAAAATTGAGACTGTTGAAACACTCCAACGAAGATTTGTACCTTCGAAACTGGTTCCATTTCATTGTTATACTTCCTGAAAAAAATTAGACGTGGGGAACGCACTTTTAAATGACCTCTGGATTTATTGAGCTGACTGGTTGGGAAAAAACGTTATGTCAAAAACATTACATCAAATTTCTCTCTGAATCTTTCTTCGAATCATTCTAACGAAATTAGTTTTGTATCGGACATTTGTTAATGATTAAACTCGTATTTCTATATCTAAAATCGAATTCTGTTAATTTGAATGATGACGTGAGCTGCGGTGCGCCACAAGGGTCTGTACGAGGGCCAGTGTCATTTATGATTTTTGCCATGCATCAAAGCTGTATTTTTTCCTGAACAAAACTCGAGGAAAATCAAACGCCGATCCTAATTCAATGACGCTCTTATGCTATAACTTGAACAACTGTATAAAGGTCTTGGTTATAATAATACTGTACCTGTCAAAAGGAATTTCGACAAATTCCCTTCTCTAGGACATATAGTTTATTAGAATCAACTAGTTGAAACACAGAAAAAAATGTTTATCCAAACAGGAAGCAACAATTTTAACGAATTTTCGTTACTCATTCAATTTGAGGATGAATCATCATCATCATCAAAATAGTTGCAGTGTTTTTGGCCCTACTCAATAATTCCAAAAAATCCATAGAGTGCATAAAAAAAATTATAATTCATATTTTTTAGGGTTGCGAAAGTTCAAATTGACAGAAAAAATTCGGCAGTACGGTTTTTTTATGCATTAGTTTGGCATATAAACGAGGAGTTGATGAGCTACATTGAACAAAAATGTTACTATCAATCGTTATCAACACTCTGTCAAACCCAAAAAATTTCTGAGCAAAATTACAAGTTTCCGAATATTATTTCCCGGAAAATCTCGTGGCAACGTCACCAACGTACGAAATTCGACGGTATTTCAAAAGTGCGACTGAACTCTCAGTATATTTTCATCAGATCTAAGACAGTTGCCATCCCACCGAAATGTCCCATTCAAGGGTTATGAGTGTGTACTTGCTGTTGCTGATTCTGCTGGTAAGCTTTCAGGCTGAGCTCTGTTTTGTGTTCTCTCGCTATGTGTCTCCTCACTGTGTTGTTTCGAGTGAAGGTCCGCGAGCAGAATGGGCACGGCACTCGGATGCCCTGGTGTCTCTGCCGTATGTGGGCCCGCAGGTTCGTCTCGTATCCGTACAATCTCTCGCAAAAAGGGCACTTCAATTTCTTTCCTGGGGACAAAGATACACTCATCAGAACAGAACGAAGAGATGTCTTAAGAAGAGAATTTGAAGCTGAATTGGGCATGCCCAGCAATATCTGGAGCAGTTCAGCCGAATCCAAATTGAAGGCCAAATTGAGAGCAAAATTCGCCGTGTATGCTCCGATCTGAGTGGAGACAATGTATACCGCTTAGTATTTCCAGCAAACCTCTCTGATTATGGAGCAATATTCAATCCCAGCATTCTCTTCACTGTACATACAGATATATCAGTAGAAAAGCTTAATTTTGATCGAAATATCCACCAAGATCATTAATTATGTCTGATGAATTTATTTAGAGAAACTCATACAACAAACTCGTTTCAGGAATTCGGAACTCTTGAAAATATGATGACAAAACAGACTCACCATCCGGTGTATTTACCATCCCGCTCTTCGTCAACTTGATAGCAGCTTGATTCCACAGGTGGGGCGGTATAAGATCTTTGTCCCTGTCGTGATTGCAATTCGTCTGGTGGTTGAGTGAACCGTTCGAAGAGGGGTTGGTGTTGTTGAGCATGTTCCCGACGCTTCCGCTTCCTGCCGTGCTGCTGGGCGAGTCGTCCTGCTGAACCGGAGGTTCCATCTTCATTCTCAAATCTGCAACAGAGGCCAAATTCATATTGATATATTCATACACTAAATTGAGGAGCAGTTTGAGGCCCGCGTGATATTTTTCAACTATTTTTATCTATTTGTTATTTTCGAAGGCATCTGTTACAAAATTTATCTTCAGCTTTTCAGCTGCCAGTAACGGAGTCAAGCTAAGATCTAATTTCGTTCCATTACTATTCATAAATGTCCCTTACTGTTTACACTGTTCATAAATGTCCATTACTGTTCATAAATGTCCATTATTGTTCATAAATGTCAATTACTGTTCATAAATGCCCATTACTGTTCATAAATGTCCATTACTATTCATAAATGTCCATTACTGTTTAGGCATGTTCTTTACTGTTTATAAATCTACATGATTGCTTATGAATCATCTCCGTTCATTACTGTGTATAAATGTTCTGTTCTATTCTGTTCATAAATGTCTATTACTGTTTATGCATATCCTTTACTGTTTATAAATGTACATAACTGCTTATGAATCATGCATAACTGCTTATGGATATGCATGTCCATTACTGTTCATACATATCCTTTACAGTTTATAAATGTACATGACTGCTTATGAATCATCTCAGTCCATTACTGTTCATGCATGTCCTTTACTGTTTATGAATCTACATGACTGGTTATGAATCATCTCGGTCCATTACTGTGTATAAATGATCTGTGCAACTATACTGTTCATAAATGTCCATTACTGTTTATACATATCCTTTACTGTTTATAAATGTACATGACTGTTTATGAATCATCTCGGTCCATTACTGTTTATGCATGTCCTTTACTGTTTATAAATCTACATGACTGCTTATGAATCATCTCGGTCCATTACTGTGTATAAATGTTCTGTGCAACTATACTGTGCATAAATGTCCATTACTGTTCATACATATCCTTTACAGTTTATAAATGTACATGACTGCTTATGAATCATCTCGGTCCATTACTGTTTATGCATGTCCTTAACTGTTTATAAATCTACACGACTGCTTATGAATCATCTCCGTTCATTACTGTGTATAAATGTTCTGTGCAACTATACTGTTCATAAATGTCTATTACTGTTTATGCATGTCCTTTACTGTTTATAAGTCTACATGACTGGTTATGAAACATCTCGGTCCATTACTGTGTATAAATGTCCTGTGCAACTATACTGTTCATAAATGTCAATTACTGTTCATAAATGTCAATGACTGTTCATAAATGTCCATTACTGTTCATAACTGTCCATTACTGTTCATAAATGTCCATTACTGTTCATAAATGTCCATTACTGTTCATAAATGTCCATTACTGTTCATAAATGTCCTTAACTGTTTATAAATCTACACGACTGCTTAAGAATCATCTCCGTTCATTACTGTGTATAAATGTTCTGTGCAACTATACTGTTCATAAGTGTCTATTACTGTTTATGCATGTCCTTTACTGTTTATAACTCTACATGACTGGTTATGAAACATCTCGGTCCATTATTGTGTATAAATGATCTGTGCAACTATATTGTTCATAACAATACTGTATAAATGTATAAAAGTACTGTATAAATGTACATGACTGCTTATGAATCATCTCGGTCCATTACTGGACCGAGATGATGTATGTCACAGAATGTCTCGGAACTCGGAACATAAGTAAACAGAACAGCACGTCTTTGAAATATGTCATCTTTGTTTGTGTCTACAGGTAACAGATTCATTGTTCTTTATTAGATATAACCGACGTTGCCAAATGGTGAAATAGAAACGAATCCCTTTAAATGTTGAATGCATTATTTCATTCCTCTTTTTTAAGTATTTAAATAATTTTTTAAAGAAACTGGTTGAAATGATAAGTTTAAAATACGTTGTTTTAGAGCTCTATGAAAACTACTTGATTTTCGTCAGGAGGAATATTCCCCATTATGAAGGAGTTCACGGAACAGGATGGTCGACGAAACAATTGAAGTTGACAACTGACATTTGACTTCAACAGCGATCTGATGTCAAGCAGCGAACACTAACCAGTGAAATTAATAGATGGAATAGTATAGGATAAATAATGAAATATTCCTTTTTATTTACAAGTGCTGAAGTAAACTTATTTTATTTCATTGTACAAAGAGAAAACCACACGAAAAACGTGTCAATATCTACGGATATTTATAAGTTTACATATGAGTGTGCGCTTACCTTCTGCGCAGCCCGGATCCTGTGACCTATCGAGACTACTACTTTCCGGACAGATCATGGCGGTGGCAGGATCCGGGTCGAACCTATTCTCGGGCGAGTCTTCGCCCCCCGGCTGGCTCGGCAGATTCGACAGCGATGACGACGGCCTGTACGGATGCGACACGTGCCCCCCACCTGGGGGGGACCCTGGCCGACCGGTCGCCTTGCTGCCGTCGCGCAGGACGGACACCCTGACCGACTCCTGCTGCTGCATCACCTCGTTGGGACTGCTGCGCAACGGCCTCTTCATCGAGTTGTCGTAGGGGGGCGCTGAGGCGGGCATGCGTGGGGAGTCGTACGGCCGATAGTGGTGCGGGTGCATGTAGGGCGACATAGCGGGCGAGTAGCTCGGGGACGGGCTCGATTGGTGGTGGGCGTTCGATACCGGGGTCTCGATCTCTTCTTTTGGTATCTGCAAATCAAAAATTTTTTATCTTACTTAGATCGACAAAGATACTTGTGGGTGTTAGCCAGAACACGAAACTTCTATACCCCAAGGATCAACCTTAGGACCCAGACTCTTTTTACTATATGTGAATGGTGTGGCCTCTGTAACAAAATTTATACAAAAGTATCTGTAATGACCTCCAAGAAATCAAACAATGGTGTGGTGCAAACATACCGCCATTCAACATTGAAAAAAACAAGTATAATCACCTATATCAGTACACTTCAAGAATGTGTTAGGAAAATAATAATAATATTTATTTGACTACGTTACATAATATAATGTGTTGGTAGCAAGTCATGTTTGGCTTTACATTCAAAATTTACAAGTTAAAATTTACACAACAATCACATATGTAAAAACTTTGAAAATCAAAAAGAAGTGGTAACTTGTTTGTTACCACAAAAATGTGTTCTGAAGTCATCGATAGAATAGAAGCAATGCCTCAACAAATACTTTTTCAATTTTCTCTTGTATGTGTTTAGACTGAGTTCTTTGAAATCTTAGGGCAAAATATTGTACAGATAGTAATCTGTGGAATTTTTTTGCGATATAAGTGAAGACGAAATCGATTTATTCTAATGTGGTGAGCGTTTCGTGTGTTATGTTCGTGGATATGACATTGTTTCGCCAAGGATGGTTTCTTCTTGTGGATTTCAATCAAGATGTAATAAAGAAATAAAGTTGGCAAAGGCATAATTCCGAGTTTTTTGAAATATTCTTGACAGTGATCCCTGTATCCAATATTAACCAGCACTCTCAATGCCTTCTTTTGCATCCTAAATATTTGAATGAAACAGTGAAAAACATGAGGTTTTTAATATTTATTACTTTATTACTATTATTACTTTAAGATCAATTACTGAGTCAGGTTTGCTGAGGTTGAATAATCATGTGAAAAATATCAAGTGGGACTTCATTTCTGACCACTTGTTGACAATAAACGAAAAATTTGATCATTTTATGTTAGAGCCATTGCAATCTCTTTTTCGCTAAAAACAAAGCGGGTCAAAGGCACCAAACCACATTTAAATTGGTTCAACAACAAATTACGTGACATGCGCGAAACTCTGAATTTCATGATTGATGCTTACCGCCAAACTGACCGACCAGAGCTGAAAAACTTGATAGATAATTACAGAATGAAATATAGACAAGCCCTCTCACACGCAAAAATACAAGCCAATGATAACTACATAAGGAATAGTGTTAATGAACCTAGAGCTATGTGGCAACTCATTAACAGACATAGAGAAAGTAAATCTAATGTAAATTCAAATAGTTTCACAGGAGAAGATTTCAATGAATATTTCAATAATGTAGCAAAACATTCTGTTGACAATCTGTCACAACAGAAATTCAATAAATCTGCTACTGACTTTCTTGAAAATGTCAATGTCAACCATATTCAAATGTTGAGCTTTGTGGAATTCACATACATAGAGGTAAGGGATGCCATATTCACTTTAAAAAACAAACAGACAAAGGACATATATGGTTTCAATACCAAAATTATCAAATGCATTGCTAATGACATAGTGTACCCCCTCACTAACCTATACAACGAGTGTGTGAAAGAAGGAACTTTTCCTACTTGTCTCAAATTGAGTTGTGTAATTCCTATACATAAAGGTGGCGCAACAAATTTGATATCAAATAATCGACCTGACTCTATCATACCTTATTTTGCCAAAATATTCGAAATACTGCTGAAAATACCTTTAACTAATCACTTTGAACAACATAATTTATTTACTGTACAGTTCGGTTTTCAATCCCAACACTCAACAACAATGGCTATAAATTCACTTGTTGAGACTATAACTGATAGTTTTGAATCCGGCGGATTCACAATGTCATTTTTTTGTGACTTAAGTAAGGCGTTCGATTGTGTTTGCCCTAAAGTTTTGCTCTCAAAACTTTAATATTATAAATTATCTACAGGCAGTCTTAAACTGTTGAAGTCCTATCTGGACGACAGACAGCAAGCTGTTTACTTGAATGGCTTACTTCCTATTGAGTATGGAGTTCCCCAGGGGTCGATATTGGGACCGATCCTTTTCTTGATTTACTTCAATGATATACGATTTAGTGACACAAGTGCCAACTTCGTGCTGTTTGCTGATGATACAACTGTATCAATTTCTAGGAATAATATTGATACTTTGCGTACTACATTCGAGGATACTCTGACAAATGTCAGTGAGTGGTTTGCCGTAAATAATCTTAAACTTAATGAAGATAAGAGCCAAACAGTCATTTTTTCGTTGCGCGAAGTGCCAGATATCAGTAACCCTGAATATGTTAGGTTTCTAGGCGTATAAATTGACCCCAAAGTGACTTGGAATGTAAATATTGATAGACTTATAGTCAAAATATCCAAAAATACTTATCTCCTGAGGAACTTACAAAAAGCAGTATCAAAACCAGTTCTGAAAGCAGCTTTCCATGGGATTATTCAATCTCACATATCGTATTCAGTACTTGTCTGGGGCCATGTGTCCAATGCATCAGATTTATTTGGCATCCAGAGAAGAGCAATTAGGATTCTTGATAACCTTTCTTACAGGCAAGACTGTAGAAGTAGCTTCATAAGTAATGAAATACTTACACTTCCATCATTATATATATTGCAATGCCTGCTACATGTTAAAAACATATAAGAAGTTATACTACACATGATGCAATCCACAGTTATAACACTCGAAATAATTCAAATCTGTATCTCCAGAACCATAGAGTCAACAGAACCAGAACTGGCGTAAATTATTATGCTCCAAAAATGTATAATTCGCTTCCCCAAAATATCAAAAATCTACCTTTGAAGGAGTTCAAATACAGAATCAAAAATTTTTTAATTAAAACAGCTTTTTATTCCTTAGATGAATATTTTAGTAATGGTTTTCGAGACATGTAATCCCACTTAATCATATATATTTTAACTTGTTTTATATTTCTATTTCATAGTTAGTATGTTTTATTAGCACAAATGTATGTATATCTATATTAATTGTCCATTTAACCATTCAAGTTATCTGAATATTTTATATTTTGTATTTATAGATAAGCAATATCTGTTATGACCTGTGTAAACTTTGTATTAGCACCAAATATATACTACTACTACTACTATATTTGCACTAGTGAAGTATTTCACTAGTGCAATAGAGAGAGTTTTCTCTTCAGTTGAGAAATATGTGCAGCCCAGTTGAGTCTATTATCTAATGTAATGCCCAGTAACTTAACCTTTATTAGTTTCACATCATTTTTGTCCGACAGAATGAAAGTGGTGTCGTCCGCAAAGAGAACCGATTTGAACGGCATCACATGTTTGCACAAGTCATTCATATAAATGACAAATAAGAGCGGGCCCAAAACAGACCCTTGCGGAACGCCATGCTTAATAGGTTGAAAGTTTGATAAGGTACCGTTGAGCATCACTGCTTGTTGACGATTAGTAAGCTAGGTTCTTATTAAGTGCAACATATGGGAGAGAATTAATGATATTATCAGCAATGGTACTGAAAAAGTTGTTCATCTCATGAGATGATAGTACGATTGTTGTTTTGAATCGTATTTATTTCTCTCGAAATTTATTGATTTCCAGCAAGCTTCAGATTTATTATTGGAAGAAGAAATGTATTCATCATACGCCATTTCTTTTTTAGCGGATATCAGTTTAATACCATACTCTTTCTTGACCTGTTTGTATGTCATGAAACCATTTGGAGTCTTGGTTTTGTCTGCTATTTGTTTGAGGCTGCGCATATTATTTCTTAACAATCTCAGATCATCTGAAAACTATTGAACAAGTGATTTGTTTGCTTTTCGTTAACATTTTTTCAGAGGAAAAAGTTTTAATGTGAGAGTGTTATACAAACTACAATGAAAATAAATCAAACAAGACAAAAGTACAGACTTTACAAACGAAGTTTTGTCGAATTACACAACACAACAAAAATAATTTTTTGAATGTTTCCTACACTAAATTAGTCAATTTCCACTAATTTTGGGGTGATAAAAACGAAAATAACAATGAAAAATTTTTATTAGCTCTGGTTTTTGAGATACACAGTACTTAATTTTAAAGAGTAGTTATACTATACGTGAAAAGTGAAAGTACATAAAACAATATTGTTATGTTTCTATTAGAATATTTTAAGTACAAAATTAATAAAAAAAAACATTATTCTTAGTGTTTTGACAAATAAAAGAAGTTTGTACCACCAAATTTCAAATAAGTCCATCCCATTCATTGTAAGATCGCTGTCGTTTAGCTTGTCTTTTATAAAACACTTCTGGAGCATCCCTACACACAGACCAGCAGTAGTCTGCAAGCATTGCTTCATTCCAACGGCCCTGATATCTCTGTTCCATTAAGGCAATGTCTTGATGGAATCTTTCTCCATGTTCGTCACTCACAGCTCCACAGTTTTGTGGGAAGAAATTAAGATGAGAGTGAAGAAAATGAATTTTTAAGGACATGTTGCATCCAAGTTGGTGGTAAGCTTGAAAAAGCTCTTTAACCAATGCTGTGAAGTTATCATCTCTTTTGTTACCTAAAAACCCATGTACAACCCCCTTAAAGGCTTCCCAGGCTCTTTTTTCATTTCCTGTTAAAATCATGTCAAAAGCAGGATCATTTACGATTTCACGGATTTGAGGCCCAATAAAGATGCCTTCCTTGACTTTAGCATCACTCAACCTGGGAAACTTTGCTCTCAAGTACTTAAAAGCTTGTCCTTCCTGGTCCATGGCCTTCACAAAGTTTTTCATTAGTCCCAACTTAATATGTAATGGGGGAAGGAGAACATCCTTAGGATCTACAAGAGGCTCGTAAACTACATTTTTCTCATTAGGGTTTAGCAAGGAAGCAAATCTTTTTGACGCTGTCTGTACTGAGATATTTTCACATCATGTTTTAGAAGATTCCACTGTTGTAGTCTTGACCCTAACAGCTCAGCCTTTTCCTTAGACAAGCGAAGATCTCTTATAAGGTCACTCAACTCTGCTTGACTAATTCTGTGCGGATCATTAGACCTATCGCTTACCTCAAAATCAGGGTCATAGGATGTAGAAGGATGGGTTGCTCCTTCTAAACAGTCTTCATCACCTTCCTCTAAAATTTCATAGTTTTGGGGTGGAGAAGGGACTGGCAAATTGTCTGAGTGTGGTACAGGCCGAAGAGCAGATGAGAGATTAGGGTATTTAACCGTTCCTCTTTTCTTCATAAATAAACCTTGCTTAATGGGAGGAGTTAAGCAGAAATAACAGTCGTCTGTATGATTGGTAGGCTCACGCCAAACCATAGGTACTGCAAAAGCCATTGCCCGGTTTTTATTTTTCAGTCACTCTAGCAATATGACGGAACAAGAATTACAACATATATGAGGAGCCCATGATTTATCTTGGTCCCCAACTTTCACACCAAAATAATGTTCACAGGCTGTCTTAACGATAGGTGTCATTTTACGTTTCTGAGCCTTAAATGTTATTTCACCACATATATAGCAAAAGCTATCGACAGAATTCACACACTTTCGAGGCATTTCAGATCAGCACTTAAATTAATTTAAAAATCAACTTCACAGGATAATTTCAATAGCAACCACGTGCGTACAATTGACAAACTCACATAGGTTATGTTTACTACTTAAGAACAGCTGATGAGAGGGGTGTTATGTAAACAAACATGTGTACCAACTGTTGGTGATGAAATATTTCATTTGTTGAAAACTCAATATACATATATATAATATAATGATACTATATTTTGAAAACAAGAGCTAATATATAATTTTTATGGTCACTTTCGGTTTTAACACGTGGAAATACATTAAAATCATCTAATTTCAACCCCGAAACAAAAACTTTGTTGTGTTGTGTTATTCATTGCCAACCCTGCTCAGCATTAAAAATGTCATCAGATTTTTCCCATAATAGGCTACTATATCCTCAGATTTATGTCGCATCCCACTCACCTTAATATGCTTCCGAGTCGGCGAATCAGCCCCCCCGACAGCGGCATCCATGGAGACGACGGTATGACTCTGCGCGACGGCCAACTTCTCGTGCTCGATGCTCAACCCTTTGACCTGCAGACACTCGGCCGCCTTGAGGAAGCTCGACAGCGAGTCCTGCGACACGTGGACCTCTCCCCTGTACATGAACTCCAGCAGGGCTGACATGTTGGACGCGGACGTGTTGTCGAGGATGACCAGCAGATTCTGGTGGAGCGGAGCGGTTTCGAACAGGTCCGCGAGGTGCTTGCTGCACGCCGCCAGGATCAGTTTGTGAGCCTTGAATGAGACACCTGAAAAATGGTCGAAGACGTTATTCAAGATGGCGATTGGAGGACTTCAATATACCTAACATGATCAAAAATTGAAAACCGAAGCTCAAACAAAACTGGTTGCTTTGCAGTGAAAGCTGCAGAGTAACATAGATGACGAATCTAGGTTTTGCAACTGACCGCCTTGTGGAGCCTCGTTTATCAAAGATGGCGTCTGCGTGAGGGGAAATGTCGTCGACCTTTCTTATGAATCAAAATATTCGTACTCTTGTATATGCAGAGGCTCAATGTCTTGACATTCCACAGAATTATAAGTACATTCAGAAGCTCATGAGAAATTATATGAATGGAGGAAGGAGAAACGGTTTGATACTTGCAAATGTAAAACACATCTGTTACAAAAATACTTTTGTTCTGATCCGTTGAGAACTAATCTTTGTAATATTGTTAATACTAGACAAATAAGTTTTTGGGTATAGTTAAAGTGGAATATTTCGCATGTCCTCATAGAGTAGTTCTTCAAACCTATCAGCTTTTTTTACTGTGATAACGTCTCAGCCCGTATACGGAATATGTTAGAACAATTTATGACAGATACAATTTTTCAAAATGACATAACGGAGATATTAATGTAAAATTCCCAAGTGAAACATGTGTATAATTTATAAATTCAACAAGGTGTAGGTTAGCTGAATATGGGACTTATTGTTATTTATCGTGAAAGTTTCTTTCTTGCTATAGTCAATTGCTCACAATTCATCCTTTAGAAAGTTTCTGCTCTTTGATAAAAACCAAATTTTTCAGTTGTGCAAATAAATTTATAGATATCAACAAAAGACTAGTACTACTCTAACAAAAGGCACAATAAAGTATGAGATGGAAAAAAAGACCGAAGAAATATTGAGGAATAATTGAAAAAAGGAAAGGACTACTACAGAATACTCTGTTCCCAAACAGCATTGGATTCTTTTGATTTTTTACGCCTCTCATGAAATATTATTATCAAGGACTGCGATTTTTATGAAGAAAAAAATGCAGGTCAAATGCCTTTTTTTCATTGAAGGGGAACATCTGCATATACAGTGTGTAACAACGGTAACTTAACAGAGCCGTTTTTGAATACAAAAAGTAAGTTTTTTAAAAAAATCTCGGACACGTCGATTTCTAATTAAAGGAGGACACCTTTCAGATTAATCAGATTTTTTGTAGTACGCACCCCCTCGGAGGGGTGCGTCCGACGACCCTTATTTAGATAGTTATGATGCACTGTTTGGAACCTTTGGTATAGTAATGAATATTACTGGAGTTTTTTCCCAACTCCAAATCGTTATCACCAAGTGATCACTTGGTGATCGAAACACTAGTCGAGGTGTTAAAAATAACGATTTGGTGTTGGGAAAAAACTCCAGTAATATTTATTACTTATTTAGATAGGGAAAGTAGGTCGAGTAGGTCGGATGAAAACCCAAGACAAAACGCAGAAATACATACCCAACATCCCCAAAAGTTGAATGTCTGGGCCGGAATATTAGGCAATCATATTATAGGTCTATTTTTCATTGATGGAAATTTAACCAGTGATTCTTATTTACAACTTCTTGAAGAGGCATTACAACCTCGTATAGTTGAAATAATTGAACAGGATCCAAGATGTCAAGATGAATTTATTCATTTTCAACAAGACGGTGCACCACCCCATTATGCCCAGCAGGTTAGAAATTTTTTGAATAATCATTTTGAAGGACAATGGATTGACAGAAGAGGTCCAATTGAATGGCCAGCACGATCACCAGATTTAACACCACTGGACTAATTTTTGTGGGGATATTTGAAGTCTAAAGTTTATGCTATACAGCCAGCCAATTTGGATGAATTACGTCGTAGAATTATTGATGAATGCCGAGCTATAACTCCTGAGATGTTGAATAATGTAAGAGCAAAATTCGAACAAAATCTTTATTGTTGCATGGAACAAAATGGCGCACATTTTGAACATTTACTCTAAATTTCCTATGTAAGTTACCCTTATTAGGTGTTACTTTTTTTGTGTGTGCTTTAAAAACAATTATTGGGATTTATTAACCCTAAAACAGTTTTTTGAACTTTTCTGTGTCATCAGCATCCAAGGAAATAAGCAGGTTGTATTCGTTGTGTAGGTAAGTTTTTAGTACGATTCACTTTTTTATCAGAAGCACAAAATATCCACGTCAAAAGGCAACCTTCATAAGGAGGTGCCACTCAATTTACCTAAAATGTAAGGGTGGTAACCAACCCCATCCCCCGAAAAAATCTCCTCGTAATAAACAAATAATTCTTACTTTTTTACGAAATCAAATGGACACGTATTAGCAGGTTGCCATAAAAAGCAAAAATTTATTTTTTTTATGAAAGTTCTGAACGTAAATTGTACCTTAAAAACAATTTGATTCATTTTAAAAAGAGTTGAACCATTTAAATCTTCAAATTCTCTCGAAAACTAATCGTTACAAAAATTTTCTTTCAACATAGTTGTAAAGGTATTCGAAAGACCTTTAAAACAAGATGCCATTCGACCTACTTTCCCTATCTAGCTTTTTTAAAAATCTTACTTTTTATATTCAAAAACGGCTCTGTTAAGTTTTCGTTGTTACACACTGTATTTATTATTCATGACACGTACGATGGTCAAACTAAGCATTTCAACAAATATTATTTAAAAAAATCAATTACAAATATTTTCTTCGGAAGTTGGCAATTCATTGCATAATTTCATAGATATTATAAAATATGTGGAACATTCGCTACATTTGTTGATTGTTTTCCTGCCCCCAAGCTAAGGTAAAAATCACCTCAACAATAACTCCTCAAAAATATAACCCCTAAATTTTTTGACAGTTCAGTTCCTCTTCCAACAAAACATTCAATAGTAATCGTTCAACAATTAACGGGCCCAATCAGATCGTGCCACTTTTCAGACCCGCCCGGTATACGGTTAGGCTCGACTCGCAAGTAAGCGTTTTGTATTTTTATTATGCACTTGACCTACTGACACAGATTCTTCTCGTTATGCAGTTTGTTTATGCCGCTCGAAATAGATAACCGACTTGTGCAATATATTTACTTTACACTTTCCTGCATCGAAACGATTGTAGATTAAAGGAGGCCCTGGAAATTGGTCCGCAGTGGGCCTGAGACCAAAATCGGAGAAAGCTTTGCATTTGATAGGCATTTCAAATACATGAAAAATGAAAAATGAAAACTTTGTATGCTTTTTCACCACTTGAATTTGTAAATGACATTTTCAAACAATTACAATAGACTGAAAATGATTCATAATGTGCCACGAAGTGTTCTGGCGATGTCTTGCATTTATTGGAGCCTCTGGAGATACTCTACATATTATTCTATTGAAGAGAGGACATTGGAAAATCAAGATCTTCAGATGATGGCGTGCTGGAGGTTTTTCCGGGTTTTCCTGCAGCTGAAAAAGCAAATGCGCCACTGGAATCAATGAAGTCGCCCCGGAGCGCCAATTAATTTTGGTTGTTTAATAATTTCATAAATTGATATTTAGTAAAATATTTTTTTACATTCATATCTATTGTAGGTAATTATAGAGGTACTTAGCTTAATTGAGTACCTGAATTTCGTTTACTTGTGACAATGTGGATACGATAATTTGAATATTGGTGAGTAAACTAGATCGATTTGATCCGGACACTTAGGCCGACCGTCCATAGAAATGGGGTTTTACGGTCTCATTCGGCCGAACAGTCTAACGAGTATAGTTGTTGATGCAACCTTTTTGAAATATTTTCTGAGTTTTTTGGTCTTCAAGAGGGAAATTATTATCATTATTGTCGTTCAAGAGCACCCTGCATTCTGGGATATGAAAAGTAAAATTTACCACAGTCGTGATGTACAGAGAAAACTTGGTATTTTTGTTATTATTTTTTGTCCTCCGTTTCTTTGCATAGTAAGGGGTATCTAATAGTATTATTAACTCCTACACATCCATTTCAATAGCCCATAGAACGGGACATTCAACTGGTAACTGACGGCCAAACGTCAGCTTCAATGGAAGATCTTTCGGTTCTGTTGCCGACAGTCTGTTATTCAGTCGTATAACGGCCGAATGCGGTTCCTTAAGCTAGGCCTAAGCTTATATAGACTCCAGATTTCTCCATCTTATCCACTTTATCTTTGGAAAAGCAATTTATTGCTTCAGCTTATAACTTCATTATAAAATATCCTCCCTGGTTTAATAATGAAATAATCAACGATATTAATTTATATTTATTTTATTTTTATATATGTTTTTAGAAAACTGAAAACTACAGACTCAGGTATTCTCAAAGAAGAATTCCGATTTCTTCGTCGATCCATCAAAACAAAAATCAAAGAAGATCCTACCAATTTGTGGACGTACATTCAAAATAAGAAAGGTACATCAAGAATTCTTAGTATTCTATTCTGGGACGATGTTGAATACAACAATGCCTCCAAAATCGTTAACGCATTCGCACAATTTTTTTAAAGTGCATATTCTCCACCCCTACAATCATATGAACACGCGAATGTTACCTCAAACAATTCTATCATTTCTTTGAAACATTTTTCACTAATTGAAATCTGCAATTCTCTCAACAAACTAAAACCACAAGCGGGGATGATAACATACCTAGCTTTTTCGTTAAAGATTGTGCACACCTCCTAGCCATATTATTATAGTCAATCTTCAATCCAGCACTGAGTACAGGATACTTTCCTAACAAATGGAAAATATCAAAAATTTGCCCAATTTTCAAAGATGGTGCCATAAACAATATCCAAAACTACCGACCTATAACCTTGTTATCAAACTTTGCAAAGGCTTTTGAGATGTGCTGCTTGTACAACAGAATCTTTCCTGATGTTAAGAATTTAATTTCAAACAATCAACACGGTTTCTTTAGCAAAAGATCAACAATAACAAACTTAATGTGCTTCACACAATCAGTAAGTAATGCACTTAATAATAACCTACAAGTAGATACTGTCTACACAGATTTCTCGAAGGCGTTTGACAAGTTGGATCATAACATTCTTATCAATGAACTTCATCAATATGGATTCGACTCCCAACTCTTAAACCTTTTCCGCTCATACTTAACTGAACCTCTTTTATTCTCACTCTTCATTAACGACATAGGAAATACTCTCTCTAGCAATTTCTTACTCTTTGCAGATGATTTGAAAATCTTTCGGCCCATTACATCACAGGAGGACTGCTTAATCTTACAAAAAGACCTTGACTTTTTGTACAATTGGTGTACCGAAAATAATCTTCCCCCAATACAAACAAATGTAAATACTCAAAATACACCCTTAAACATAATGTTATTTCTCATGAATACTGCATAAATAACACACCTCCTCAAATAAGCACTCATCAAAGGGATCTTGGTGTCACATTTGACATTTGACCCTAAACTGACTTTCTCCATCCAATATGACACAATAACATGCTCAGCCAAACGGATGCTAGGGCTCATTTATCGTAACTGTAAGAACTTTTGTAGCAGAGACAGTTTTTTGACTCTTTTCAATGTATACATCAAATCTCAGCTGGAATATGCCTCCCTTATATGGTCACCCATTTACAATGTCCACATAAACAAAATCCAGTGTATAGAAAGATGCTTCATGAAATATATTGCTTACAAGCTAGAAGGAGTTTATCCTGAACAAGGCATCGACAACAGAATACTACTGAATAAATTTAATCTATTATCCCTGCAAAATCAAAGAACCTACTACTCTATAATTTTCATTTATAAACTAGTGAATAATCTGATTGACTGTCCCGAACTACTCTCCCACTTCAACTTTCATGTTCCACGAGTCAATTCTAGAAATGAACTGACTTTTTATCTACCAAATTCTAGAACAAACATATTACTCAAGTCACCAGTTGTTGCAATGAGCAAACTTTACAATCCTCTGTGAAAATCTCGACATTTATTATGAACCTATTGGTCAAGTTAAGAACCACGTTAAGAAACTTTTACACTCTAGTCAAAATACATGAGCCCAAACTGAAAGTTATTCTACCACGTGAACTTATTACTACTACTGTATTACTGCTGAATTATGTTTTTTTTTGTAATACACCTGAACTATGTTTTTATTTGTTAGCTCTATATCTGACTTGAGGTTTTTTCAATTACTCTCCTAGCTTGCTGCACATAAGTGTTTCCCCTAATTTTTTGCTTAACTCTCCTAAATATTTACTTTATTTTATTTTTTGTTTACTCGCTTCAGGTGTTTCTAGTTGATAAATTAGTATTGTATTCATGTATATGTGTATGTATGTATGTATATATGTATGTGTATTGTGTGTATATAGGCAGATATAAACTGTAACATGCTTGTTAATAATTTTAATATGTCTTGTTATTGGGATTTAGACATTAAACAATTTTTTTTTCTAGGTATGATGACGTTAACCGAGATTCAGCAAATTTTTCTCTACAAATTCAAATTGAACCAAAGCGCTGCCGAAACAGCCCGAAAAATTAACCAGGCATTTGGCAATAATAGTGGTATTCGACGTTGGTTTGCGAAAAATCGTTTCAGAGACTTTAGCCTCGAAAATGAATCCCGAAGTGGTCGACCTACAGTAGTTCGGGACGACGTTTTGAGGACTCTGGTGGAGACTGATCCATCAAAAACGGTGCGTGAAATGGCGGAAGAACTGGGTGTTAGCTCCCATGCGGTTTTGATGGTTTAAAACGTATTTGAAAGGCCGAAAAGCTTGAAAAGTAGGTGCACCATTGAGCGTCTAAGTTTTGGTTTACCCACCATACTTCCCAGACCTCTCGCCCATCGGAGAAATCAATATATTTCGAATATATTTGGAATATTTCTTGAACATATAAAATAAACATCATTTACAAATAATATTTGAAGGGAAATACGCTTTTTGAGTGGTTGTGACGGAATAATTAGCAAATATAATGAATCAGTGAACTCACCATCGCAGAACAGCGTGACGTCAGCTAGAGTTTCCGATTTGTATAAATTACTAAATGATGTTGCAAGGTTTGATCCGAAACTGTTCCATTTCAAACAGAACTGCTGTTGCTGAGGGTCCATCTCAACACCGGAATGGAAAAAACTGTGAGCTGCAACAAAAAAAAGAACTATAGTTTCAACGTCATAACTTATTCGAAATAGTCAAATGTCAACAAATATATTTTGCTGATATTGTCAATTTTTTTTCGCTACTTCGAAATTTTGAATGTATTGACCTTCCAAGTGAGAAAAAATCATTCAAAAAATAGTGTTCAGATAATACTTTTAAATAGAACGTGTAAAGTTACTATATTTCGAAATGAGTCTTTAAATAGATCTGGTTTGCAGTGACACCATAAAGATTTGGAAATAATAGTTGACAGTACACCGACTATTTCTGCAAAAGTAGAAACTGAAAAATCTGAAGCCCTACAAATGTATTGATTTATCGTTGTCTGCTCATTATTTCATTCCTTTGTACGTTCCAAACTATAATATGCTAGTACATAATTTGATATTCTTTGTACGACTGTTATATTCAGGATACTGAGAAGGTACACAGAGAACTCCTCAAATTTTTCATATATACATGGGGTTTACCATGAACGTGATACAGACAAACATAATTAGGAAAATTATGAATATTCTGGCCGGCTAGTTATTTGATAAGAAATTAATAACACTCTCCACGATAATAAATATAGAATTTTCACAAAAAATTTAATTTAAAACGCGTCTCGCTTCACGGTAGGTTCATCAGTTACTGGTACATAAAATTATTCTAGAATATCTTTTTTATAACAATAGGTAATAACAAACCTTATTAGATAAATGATTAATTCTGGCAAAACATATAGATTTAGAAAGCACAAATCAATACAATATTATTTCTAGGAAAACACTTAATAGGTAAATATTTCAATTAATGACATTTTATGAGAACAATTTGAATAATGGTGAATGAATAATTTCCTGTAGGTCGTTAAAAAATAATTTAAATTTTTGCGTTTATTGATTTCCAGCAGGTTTAACTGTTGTCCTTTATTTTCTGTATGTAATAAGTCGTAGTCCATGTGGAAATCGTGGTTATTCTCCAAATCGTAAGCATAGGTGGAATTCATTTTCTTCAGTTCCATACTTTTTTATGTTACGCGATTCTCGATTCAAAATTTCTTGAAGTTCTTCCTATATTAACTTTTGGACATAATCCATATGTTAGTTTATAGACCTCTGATTTGTCATCTTCACCTAATTACGTGTAGATTAAAAACTTCCAATTCAAATCTGAGAAGAAACGTAATTTTTTTGTCTTTAATCTATAAATTTTTAAATGGGCTCATCGATTGCGTTTATATTCGACTCTGAATTGATTTTCATATTCATCGCCTATCTTCGGGAAAAAACGTTTCTCGAAAAACAAATATTCTCTTAAAGACACTTATTTATTGAACGATAATAATAAGCTTTTCTAGACTTCTCTTTGAAATTATTGTTCGTATAACAGATATGATAGATAGATAGATAGATAGTTTATTTGACTACTATGCACATTGAATGAACTTGCCAAAAATGTAAACTTTTGAGTAGTTACTCCTCCATATATTCATATAGTTCTATTCTTTAGCCTTGTATATGGAAACTTGTTAGAAAATAAAGCTGTTACTATTATAAACCAAATAATTTTCTCATAGTTTTTCCACGAGAAATTGTTTTGAAAATTTTATTGCCGGAGCAATAAAAAGAGATTTACTTTAGATCTGCAAACAAATTACTATTGAAGAACTTTTCCAAATAAAAATGAGAAGTCAGGAAGGACTGTCTATTTTCAATACGTAACCACTGAGAAGAACAACTGTTCTAGCTGTGATGATGATAGTAAAAGTGATACTACTAATATGGCAATTCGATTGCAAGAACCAAATTGACCCAGCAGCTAATGAAATTGGTAAATATTTCTCGGAACTTTCTTTATGGAAATGAAATGAGGCAAGTTTTCGACGTCGCATTCCTCAGTTACAAACGATCGACTCGAAGAGCGATGATAAATCTGCCCCATAGATTTTGTTTCGGTAGATCCGACTACAATGAATTTTTTGGTTTGCCGACATTGATCAAAATGATTATATCGATTCATAAATCGTAATGATAGTGTTAGAATCCAAAAATGGTTTCCAATGGACGGATACGAATGAATTCACGGACGAGCGAGTCTGTTCCGTTGGTAATTATAGTTCGAGAATTTGAAATGTTAAACCCGCAATTAGCATAATTTGCCAAACATTATGAAAAACACGTACTTTGAAATCAGATATAAGTAAACATACTTGAAAATTATTAGAAACTTTAAAAAGGAGAAGATGTCTACTATGAGAAGCCATGGCCGAAATGATATATGTAGTATAGTCTATCTCAAGAATAAGGCAGAGTAAATTTTGGGAACACTTATTTCCGAAACCACGAAATACGTAGGCGTGCATAATTTACAAATGCTATACGTTTTATTCAATATGAATAAAAGCTGAAAGAATTTATTTTACAAAGTGGAACAAGGTCTATTCAAAAATTGAAGTGAATTTTCATTTTTCTCAAAACATATTTATTTATTCATCAGTTTCTACTTTGTCCCATTCACTGTTTGGTAAGTCCTTGAGGTGTCTCAGATGTTTTTATCTCCTCAATAATCGCAAAAACGCCATTCTTTCACGGGTCTCTCCAATTTTCGGAACAGGAAAAAGTCGCAGGCGGCCAAATCCGGTGAATATGGTGGCTGATGTATGATTACGGTGTTGTTTTTGGCCAAAAAATTACGAACAAGCAATAACGAGTGAGTTTCATTTCATTATGGTAATGCAATGCCATGAATGGTTTTTCTACAATACTAGACGTTTTCTTCTTATTGCGAGGGTTTTTTTGGTCAAAATTCGTGATTTGATTGATATTTCTTGAGAATAAAACATCACTATCAGTATTAACATGGATTAAGTTCATTGTTAATAATTTCAAATCGGCGCTGCGGTTAAACGGGAGTTTGTGGTACTATGAATAACGGAGATATAAGCGAAAATATGTAAAAAAAAATGTAAGTTTTAATTTTTTACACCCCCTCGGACGGCACTGCAAATTGATTTGATCTTGTACGTGATATCTATGTATAATGTGCTACATTACAGTGAAAAATCAATCAACGATCATCCACTATTAACTGAGATATAAGCAAAAATATGTAAAAAATAATAATTTTTATTTTTTACACCTTCTCCGACGGCACTGCAAATTGATTTGATCTTGTAATTGTCATCTATGAATAATGTGCTACATTACAGTGAAAAATTCATCAACGATCATTAAATATTACCGGAGATATAAGAAAAAATATGTCAAAAATATCAGTTTTTTTTATTCCACTTTCATACTCTGCATAATTTTTTCAAGAAATTAAAAGATAGGACATTGATAAATTAAGAATCTTTCGTTTCTATTACATTCAGGGCATCCTTAAAATCTCCTCAAACTATTATTTTCATAATATGTTACAATTTGGGGTATGCAAAAGCGTGGCTAGGAATTATGTGAAATTTGGCAACAGTGGACGGATATTCTCCTCAATCCCGATGTCGATGGTCCACACGTCAAAAAGCGTGGCTAGAAAAGCGTGGATAACTTCACATAAACTAATATTTGTATGTATTACCAAGAATGTGTCATGTAAAACGGCATTCTTAACTATCGTCGTTAAGTNGGTTCTAGCTAGTGTATTCCGATCACCTCGAGATGGCAGTAATAATTGCATATAAAAAGGCTAGCGGCGCAACTACGAGTTAGTCTGCGTAGGAAAGGCGAAGGAAGCGAAACTGTCTATTGTGAAATAAAGTAACACCCGTCCATAAAAGTATTTTGATTTGAGTTATCGTTTTAATGTGTGATTTGTTAGTATGAAATAGAAGCGAAAAATCGACAGTGAATGCAGAAAGTTCCAAGAAAAATGGAACTTTCAGTATTTTGTGACTGAGTCCAGTGATAAGGCGCTATGTTTAATTTGTAATGAAACCATAGCTGTTCTTAAAGACTATAACATTAAACGACACTATGAATCGAAACATCTTCAAAGTTACGAAGTTTGCGGAAGGAAAAATTTGAAGCTTTGAAACGCGGACTCAAATCGCAGCAATCTTTGTTCACCAAAGCGAATACTGAACAAGAGTCTGCAACTCGCGCCAACTTCTGTGTGGCTCTTGAAATCGGAAAACGTGGCAAACCATTCACCGATGGAGAAATGATAAAAGAATGCTTGATTGCAGTAGCCGAAAAAATATGCCCCGAAAAGGTAAATTTATTTAAAAGTGTCAATTTGTCAGCAAACACCGTGGCTCGGAGGGTGCAAGACATCGCAGAAAATATATCATCTCAACTGTCTGACAAAAATGGACATCATGAGTGGTTTTCTCTAGCCTTGGATGAGTCAACGGATGTGTCAGATACTGCTCAGGTGTTGATTTTTATTCGCGGAGTAGATAAAAGCTATGAAGTGTATGAAGAACTTCTTGATATTGATAGTATTCACGGCACGACAACTGGGGCAGATATTTTTAAGGGAGTTGAAAATGCCATTAATAAAAAGAACCTTCGATGGAGAAATTTGAAATCTATAACAACTGATGGAGGCAAAAATATGTATGGTAAAAATAAAGGAGTGGTTGCACTTGTGTCAAAGGCTGTAGAAATTGATGGTGGTTCAAAACCATTAGTCTTACATTGTATCATTCATCAACAGTCCTTGTGCGGAAAATGTTTGGATATGTCTGAAGTTCTAAAACCAGTCATATCAGTTGTTAACTTCATCAGATCCACTGGGCTGAATCACCGACAATTCCGCGAGTTTATTCAACAGATTGGAGAAAATATTTACCATATCATACTGCCGTACGCTGGCTTAGTTGCGGAAAAGTCCTTAAGCGCTTTTTTGAACTTCGAGCAGAGATCGAAATTTTTTTAAATGAGAAGCAGCGCCCTTTTGCCGATTTAGAAAATAGTGAATGGATGTGGAAGTTAGCCTTCTATGTCGATTTGACAAATCATATGAACGATCTGAATTTGAGATTGCAAGGAAAAA